TCCAGACGCCCGTCTCGCGCCTCTGAACGAAACGCGTCGTATACGTGTGTGGTTCTGGACGCCGCTGTGGGCCGGTATATAGAAAGACTCCTCGTCAGGAGAGTCATTCCGCGGACCTCTCCGGCGTGACACAGCGGGCTTCCTGCGTCAGCGACTCTCCGGTGTTCCGTCTGGCGGTGTTGTACCTTCTGGGTGAATACAGGCGTCTCAGAGGATAATAACAGAGGTGTATAGTCATGGAGGCTGACTCTGCTGCTAATGTAAGTCGGTGATCTATGATTTGGTGTTGGTTGTATTGATTGGTGTTGTGGGTGAGGTGTTGTACACTGGTGTTGTGTAGCACGCTGTTGTGTTGTATTCTTCGGTGTTATGGTTGTAATGGCTGGCATTGTTATATAAGTAATATTTAATGGTGAAGGCGTAGACTACATAGAATGGTACAATATTATGCCACTTATAAATGAAGAACTTGTCCCTGTCCCGCACCTACGGGACCGGGACATGTAAGCCTATAGTTCATATATTCTCATATAGGCAGTCTCCTGAGACTGATGGATGCCTACTAAGAACTTGTAGACGTGTCGCAATGTCTGGCAACCGTAGAGACTGGTGGAAGGTATAGGAGCTATGTGGTGTGTGTTGTAGTGTTGTGTGTTGGTTGTAACTCTTGTGGTTGACTGGTTATGGTGATGAATGTGATGCCTGATGGTGTGATGGTGTGGCATTATCACGATGATTGGTTGTGGTGATAGTCTGGCAGTGTTGTGACTGGTAGTTGTGAAGGGGGTGGTACACGAGCTCATCTTCACACACACACAGTCTGACACAGTAATTCGGGGTCAGTAATTCGACATTTGGGGGGGGGGGCGGTCACGTCGATATAAGCCAAACGTGAATCAATCACTCTGGTTACCTGTCCCCCGACACAATGAATTATTATTATTATATGGTAAGCGTGTGAGTTGTAGGACGTCATAGTCTTAACGTGTGGACACTTTGGAGACTATACTTAACTCTGGACACCTTCAGGACACTATTGTGTCCTGTGAACCTTTTTGGCCACCATTGTAGTTCCAACATCACTAGTTCTTGCTCCAGGTCAATACTGAGAGGAGCAAGCATGTATGGCAGACAACTTTCTGCTCTAGTTGCTAATTTATGTCGTGTTGTGTTTGTCATATATGGCAGGCCATCCTCCTGTCTTGGTGGTACTAGTGGTGGCGACGAGCACCATAGTACATATACCGACATACAACGCAATTAGAAAGTAGAAATCGGATATATTCAATTTGGACAGACCGGAAAAATGTGTATTTATGTTACAAACTAAACTAACCTAACGTTCCTAGGCCTAATACAAGCTACCTGAGGCCTGATATAGTACATATGTGTACTATAATAGGCCTAGGAATATTTAAGTTTTTATTTTAGCATAATTTTTTTCGGACTATAAAGTGAATAAAACAAAATTATTCGATCTAATTCCTTAGTACGTCAATATTTGTACTATGGTGCACATAGTTACATAAAGTACTATCTAAATAGGAGGACGGGTTGCAATTGATATATGGCGAGTCTGCCTCGCCCAGTCCCTGTCCCCAACAGACAAAATACATTGATCAATACATTACTCTAGCAACATACAATCACTTGTTGTTGTTGTTATAGATTCAGCTACTCGGGATAAGTTCTAAGTAGCACGGGCTATGGTGAGCCCGTGTTACAATCACTATGTTGTGCCGCCAAGTCACTAATAATAAAAATAATTCAGGAGAAGACACAAAGGGTTGATGAGATTACATAAGACTGGTATTTGTACACACTTGTCAAGCCACTAACACGCATAGTGCTTCGGGCAATATATATAGTTGTGGTGACTTGGCTCTTTCTCTTGATAGTTCCCTTCCCATAGCGCTAACTTGTAAGCCTTAAAATACAAAGGAAATGCCTACTAAAGTATCTCTAAACAGAGGGGCGTACTGCCTCTCATTGCGCAATCTTTGCTAACTTTAGGGTTCGTACGTCGGGAGCCACTCTAAGTCCAGTTTAGTTACCCCATAAAGCTTACACGTTTTCTTTCTGCATAATACATATATTTATAACTCATTTTCTAAAATGAAAATACCTGTATCTACATTACTGTATAATGAGAGAAACATATATATAAAATAACAACTGTGGCTCTAATGTAACGAAAAAAAACAAAGCAACAACCTAGCCTAACCTATCCTGAGCCTAATATAGTGCACCTATCATAATAGATCTATGTGTGTTCATATTAGGTCTATAGGCCCAGTGGACACAATACCCAGAGTACCAGTAATTCGACATTTAATGAGCATTATCAACGCTGAATTGGTTATTCTGGAGGCTGACCGCTGGAATGCCTCACACCAGGCGGCTATATATAGTCACATATATCAGTCAAATGTATTCATCTTCCAACCGCATTTCATCATTTAATGTATCCTCCATTACACATTCTCATGACAACCTCATTTATGAGGGATCTAATTCAAGAGTTTATTATTATTAAAGCACAAACGTAATGGCCAACATGGGTTTATTTAGAACTATAAGTTTTCTATGAATAAATAGCCTAGTTTAAATAATGATTTGCTGCTTAGAATGTTGTTGTTCACCTCTGAAGGGTTTTCCAAGGCTACAAGTCACTCGTCAAGCAGGGAACAGTGCTGTGTATATATCCCTCATGGGTTATCTGCAAGATTAGATATTTGTAAGTTTGCACTGGAATTACCGTTGTGGATTTAGATATGAAAGGAATGATACTGACTATATCTATGGCATGTATTTTGAAAAGACAATCGATGTTCGTTCTTAAGCTCAAACCAACAATTACAAATATGTTTAAAATATACAAGAAAAGTTTGTATGTTCATATTATCTCTCTGTCTCTCCCTCTCTGTCTCTCAAAGAAACAATTTATCCTATTCAAGCTTCATCTGCTGTTCCCAACCTCTCACTCTGGGCCACAGCAGTTCAAATATTTTCATATAGACACGCAGGAGATTCTTACATACACATACATACATGGAATGCATTAGGCAGTGATGTGGTCGAGGCAGACTCCATACACAGTTTCTACTGTAGACATGATAGAGCCCAATAGGCTCAGGAATCTACACCAGTTGATTGACAGTTGAGAGGCGGGACCAAAGAGCCAGAGCTCAACCCCCGCAAGCACACCCAGGTGAGTACATACATACATTTGGGCTTATAAACATGTTCAATGTAAAATAATTTTGTGACGCGGTAAGTACTGCAGGTTGAAAAACTTTGTCTTGTGTCAAGTATTTCAGTGATAATTTACGATAACTCTGAAGTAGCACTGACATTTTTTGCTGTGATGTATTGTGTGGGATTGGCCGAGATGTTAATGTTTTAAAACACGGGAGTTTGTTGTAATAGATAAGGGGTTTTGGGGAGCCGAGGGGGAGGGGCCCGAGTGCCTGTGAATGTTCAGTTAAGAGTTTCCTGCTACGTCGCTGAGCCGCTGTCTGCTCTCTTATTTCTCAAGTGTTGATTTAAAGTGTCATTTAGATCCGTCACTTTACCACAGTGGTGTAACGCACATCATGAAAGCTTTGTGGCTGGTTATCCACAAGCGATGAAGCTGTTCCCGACCCGGACACGTCAAGTGTTCATAGCTCTTTGTTGACATTGTTTTGACGGGATCCCGGGGCGGGATATTCAAACACATGAGAGGCAGAGAGGTGAGGCGAACACCCATGGTCACTCACGATGAGGTGAGTTCAGGTTGATTACTTCGGTATTACTTCGTTATTCTCATTCTGTGGGTGGTGGCAGACCAACCGCCCCCTCCGCTCACACACATATTTTCTTTCACTTACACTTATTTACTTTGACACATGCACTCTCATCACGCAGACATTCACTCGCTCACACATACAGTGCAGCGAGGAGTGGTTACAGTACAGCTGTAACTGTAGGAGTGGTGGAAACCAACTCAGTGCTCAGTTGTTAAATATAAAGAAGGGCACGACAAATCTGAGAACAGGTATTGCATTAGGTTACGGATTTTCTAAATAAGGTGGGTACACACACACACACACACACACACACACACACACACACACACACACACACACACACACACACACACACACACACACACATTTTATTGTTCACACAACTGCATAGTTGTGTGAACAATAAAGTATAATTACTCACTGTGCAATAAGCACAGTGAGTATAGGTGATTATTATAGTCTGCTTCTCCTACTCCCTCGTTTGTTCTTCCCGGCGTCATGCCCTCCCTCTCTCCACACCCCCCCCCTCCTCCCCAGGCACACGACATGATATCAATCATAAGACATTATTCTCGGAGCCTTGGCCTGAGTGAACAATTGTACACATGCACTCACATTGTTGAACTACCAACTGATGGTTGCCCGTGGCGATGACTTGGACGTGTCGCATACCAACTGGACTTGATACCTGCTTGATGGGGTTCTGGGAGTTCTTCTACTCGCCAAGCCCGGCCTTGACTTGTAAGAATTTGGTCCACCAGGCTGTTGCTTGGAGCGGCCCGCTGAGTTTACTTTTTTCAGTACTTACCTGTCAGTGACTCTGGGGAAGTAATGCCTAACTCTTTATGCTCCGCCAACTATCATTGTTGTACATGTTGCATTATAATTTAGTTATCCTGACGTTCGAATTCTTTGTCAAGTCTGGCCTTAAAGTTTTGAGTGGAGGTGGTTCACACTCACTACCCACTTGTTCATACTTTCATACTAACCACACCCAAGCTATCAACCCAAACCTCTACCCACTACAACTGACCTACTAATTATGTCTCGTCTATCCATTTTTTTGTTAATATACGTTCAAGAAATAAGTAGATGCCGTACTCTGTATTGCTATCAAACCATCAGTTGCTTTTAAAGTTTTAAATTTAATTAAAGTGTATATTATTGTTTTTGTAATTTTGAGTATATTTCACTGTTGTCACCTTGCAGACGTCACCGCTGCTGGGGCCCGTCGGTGTTATGTCGGGGGCGAGCATCACGGCCCGACAGGAGGAGGCGCGGGCGGGGAGGTGTCCCGACACACTCCCCGCACCTGGCAAGGCCTCGCCACTCAGATCCTTCACCTCACTTGTCAAACAGGTACGATGCCTCACTCGTATGTTATCCCTCTCTGACATGTGAGGCCCTCACTTAATGTGTGACCGCTTCATGACCTAGATGATCGTGATCCCTTCAAGATCTAGATTGCTCTGTTCATGTCGACATCTCTGGTTACAAAGCTTCTTGGCAATATCAAATTTACTTTTAAGGACATTGCTGCCGTGATTGTACACCTCTCTTTTACCTTACAGTAAACCATTGAGATAGTTAAATAACTCAAACTTAGGCAATGTTTGTCGAGAATCTCTGCACTTTGGCATCTTGACCATCACTACATGCATCGACAGGTGACGAGGAACGTTACGCTGGAGCCCATGTTGTTCCTGAAGATGATTGCAGAGGGCAACTATAAGGTGGTAGCAGACACACTCGAGATTGACCGAGTGTGTCGCATCAACCTCAACTTCACACAGGAGGAGTGTGCCAACATGGACGATGGCAACCACACTGACGTCCAGGTGAGTCCTGTGCTCCCTGGCACACTGGCACCTTGTGAGTGTGTGTACTGGGCTCATGGAGTGCCTCCCTTTCCCCGGCAGTCACTTAAAATCACTGCCTTTTTCTTTGTCCTTTTCAGCTGTCATAGTATTGGCAATGATATTGCTTAAATATATTACCTTCTAAATGTTTCAAAAAACAACACCATTCCAATAATGATTAACTGTTGCTTTGATAACACATGATACCACTAGACAACAAGAGAATTTTGAAATCAATTTTCTCTTATTTATGTCATTCAAGTTAAGACTAGTCACCTGTTTTTTTCAGATTGCTGTGCAGAAATTTGAGAACACCTTCAATTACAACCAGAGTTTAATGGACAGCCTGATCCCGCTAGCTGTGGTGTTGTTCATGGGCTCCCTCAGTGACATCCATGGTCGTAAGCCACCCATGCTAGCTGTATTGGCAGGGTTTGTAGCTGTAGCTGCCGTCTACCTCTTAACCTCATTAAATTCTGCCTGGCCAGTCGAGGTGTTATATGCTGGCCCCTTGGCAGTAGACATCACCGGCTCGTGGGTCGTGTTTAACATGGCAGTGTACAGCTACGTGGCAGATATCACAACCCCTGAGACACGCACAAAGAGACTGGGAGTGTTGGATGCCTGTTGGTATCTAGGTGGGCCCTTGGGCCGTCTGATGGGAGGCTGGCTGTACCAAGTTGCAGGCTACCCTGTAGTCTTCTTTGTGTCGGGTATTTTATGGGCCTTCTGCTTCATGTATGTGCTGCTGTTTGTGGCCGAGAGTGTTGACAAATCTGCCAGAAGAAGCAACACACAGGAGATGCAGGACGCTCGTCTGGGACCTCTACGGCATGTGGCAGCTCTGCTGAGGACAGCCTTCAAGCCCAGACCTGGACGTAACCGTATCTACCTTCTGATACTGTTGATTCTCAAACTCATGGTGTTTCTGGTGCAGGGCCATCAGATGTACCTGTGGGCCAGGCGTGTGCTAGGTTGGGGACCAGCCATATTTTCTACCTGGAGCAGCTTGGACTCTGTGGTGCACGAAGTGGGGATGGTTGCCTATGTATGGTTGGCAGCAAGGTTCGGGCTGCACGACACCATAGTAGCTGCAGGTGGGCTGCTTTCCCTTGGGCTGTGGTCGGCGGTCCTGGCATGCATCATGGGCCCTGGGACGTGGTGGCTGGTGGTGGTGGCTTCGCTGGTGGGCATGTTTGAACCTGCCATAGAACCGGCCATTAGGACCATGCTCACCACAGTGGTAGGAGTGAGTGAAGCGGGCAGAGTTCTAGCACTTACGGGCCTCCTGGAGTCTGCCTGGTTCACAGTTGACCAGACCATCTACACTGCGCTCTATAACGCCTATGTCGAGACATTCCCTCAGGTGAGTTTTGAGTTACAGTACGCATACAGACGGGTTGCTGCAGGTAGTGAATATATGCTCTATCCCTTAATACCTTTGCATTATATTTACTCAACAAAGATGCATTAGAAGTCATGTAGGGTGTGAACTACTTAAGGCCAACTGTAATTGTATTTTCTACAGATCAACTTTGTGGTACAAGCCAGTTTGTGTTTGGTGTTGATGGTGGCGTTTGCGTTGCTGCGTCTTGACATGCGTCGCCAGCCTGCAGCCACCCACGGCCCTCCCCTCTCTGCCCACACCACCCAGGACACCATCTACAGCGTGCAGGAGTCTCAGGTGAACAAGGACAAGGACCAAGAAACCCCTGAGGACACAGTCCATGCTCATGTAATGTAGCTGGAGTGTCCATGGTACGTACAGGGAGGGTCTGGCCACCACTGCTCACGCCTCAGTCTCACTCTTCACACCCTCAACCTCTATATATATATTTTTTATATCAAAATTTGTATAAAAAAATAAATACGCAAAAAATGTATGACTGATCAACCCCCTCCCAACCCCTGTACCCAAATGGATCCATGAGTGTCGTCGGGGGTTGATCAGTCGAGGAGCTTAGTTAATAGGCACCATTACTGACCAATCCTTATAGACGATCATTGGTGCGGTGGTCACGGTACTGTGTACGTTCAGGGGTGATCCTGGACGGCAGGGGTTCGAGTCCTGGCCGGGTCAATTAGAGTTCTTAGTGATCTGTTGCTTGTGTGTTCCTGCAGCTTTCTCACTATAGAAAGCCGCACTCACACACACATATTATATATAATATATATATATAAGTGTGTGTGTGTGTACAAGTTGTCTGACAAGCCGAATTTTCCAGAAATATTATCTTGTTAAAAGTTTATATTTCTCATGGCATAATTAAGCTCTTTCGATTACATTATATATGGTTTGATTTGTTTAAATTTGAGTAAAAACTAAAAGAAATTTGATCAAATCTAATTATTACCTACCTAACATTCAGTACAGTAATTCACGTTCTTAATATTATATAATAATATTAATTGGAATAAACCAATTTGGAAAGGATCGTTTGAAAATATTGAAAATCAGTCTCGCTTGTTAGGCAATTCGGGTCTTGCATACTAGGCAGAATAATACAGTTCCAGCTGTTAGGTATGATATCTAGAGTATATATAAACACGTTTGTGTGAAGTATTTGTTTCCATAAGTATTAAGTGTAAATACATCAGAAAGGTCATGATCTCTATGTAACAGTTCTGCGTGATGACCATTTAAAGACAATATATATATTTTAGCATATATACAGTTTCTTATGCAATTATATTACTGCATTTATACATTATACTATAGTAGTGTGTTATATTTGTTTCCTGTGTGACATACATAATCAAGGTACAGGAGCATGATCAAGACCTATATGTTGACAAATGTACACCCGAAAAATACAGGGTCTATTATTAATAATTTTGTGAAAGTGTTATGTGTATAATGTATGGTATAGATATTACAAAAGGTTATTTCTATTGTACTGCAACAATTTGAAAATTTTCTGTATTAATGTTTACATTTTGTAATGTTATGTATATGTATATTTTGAATACCAATAAATCAAAAAGTTAATCATTAAAAGACACTTTTGTCCTCTTAATTAAATAAATCAATTCAATTCATCTTGGATGTTGTTTTAGATTCAGCTACTCTGAACAAAATGTCCACGTAGCATAGGCTATAGTGAGCCCGTAGCCATCTTTGATATATTTTCACACGTTAGCCTGTGATAATAGCATTCTCTACACACCCGGACCTGTCTTACCAGGGCTCGTCTTGAAGCCTAACATTGTCAGGTGTTTGAGTGCATAGTATATAATGTTAGCTACGTGTTAGTCGTATCTCTTCCCAGAGATATGACATATAAGTGACCTACAGATCCACGCATAGAAAATGTGATTGTCCATCGTGTGTGTCTATGATTTATAACTACGTTATTTTGTCCGTCGGGGGGAGTTTGACGTCAATATGTGATGTATTATTTAAGAGGACGAGTTGCACCTCCACCCCCGACATGGTTAAGGCGACGTGAGCGCCTAAAGTGAGTGTAGACTCATTTGTCATGTTTTCGTACATGTTTGTGTCAGTCTACCAGAGCAAAACAATAGCAAGAGAACGTGGGTGGTGCCTCCCGCGGTCCGTCAGTACACGAGTGACTGCCTTGCTACAAGCACGCTGCTGCTGCTTCTCTTGGCTGCTCTAGTAAGTTAAGTCTTCAGTTTACTCTCAGAGTGAAGGATTTCAATATTCTGAAATTCACTATTCATAGATTTTTTGCTTCTTGCCTTACCTCAAGGTAAGGTAAGGTAACCAGGCAACATTTTCCTCGCCAGCAACGCATATAGCTGCTACGTAAGAGTGTTGGCCAAAATTATACTATGGAGTATCATACGAAATTTAACTTGAGGGAGAAGCTTAGTGATAGTGGAGAATAAGAATATACTGACTTTTACAATCAAGTTGGTACAGTGATAGCATTCCTTGCATTAAATCCCCCCCCCCCCCCACCAGAGTCTACCTACTGACCCTCCCCTGGATGCATTGATGCAGCCCCACATCTCTCGGGTACCTATTTACTGCCAGGTGAACAGAGGCATTAATTGAGTTAAAAACAAAAAAGTGCCCAACCATTTCTGTCGCACCAGATTGTCAGTCAAGAAGGGCAACTGCGCTGCGAGAACACAGTTAACCTCATCCCGGGTGTGTAATTCTCGTACATATAAATATAGACAGAAATATTCGCATAATTCTATATTTTATTTATATAAAGACATGAGACATTATATAACTTGTGGTAATAATGTCACTATGGTTGAGTTCTGGGAGTGGTCCGGCTTTGTCCGCCACCAGTGTCACCTTAATACAAAATAATCTACGCTGATTGTTGGATAAAGAAACCAAGTGATTGCCATGACTCGTGTTATTGTCCCTCTGAGATACAGTGTGGGGGATACGTGTCCAGAGGACCCCTTGCACACCTGTATATCTCACACAGGCACGGAGGCCAGAGGCCGCTCAAGGAAGGGGGTCCAATGGGAGGCCCAGGGCGGCCCACGGGCGGTCCAATGGGGTCTCCCTCCCCCATGGGGGAGATAAGTGATCAGGTTGTGAGCCAACTAGAGATCATATCATCGGTAAGTCATGGCGACCTTCTTTTACATTTACTAAGCATTTTATGAGGCCCAAAGCGCTCTTAGATCGTCTGTAACATAATAACTTTGGGTCAAGAAGTTTCGAAGCTCGATAATTGTTTAATAGACAGACTATAAGCCGCCATGATGAAGGAAAGATGTACATGTTTCGTAAGTGGCCACATAAACGCTTGATGACTCCTGGACCTGGAAAACAGTCCTCGGGATGTAGGTCCAACTAGTGATAATATCCTGGACATCTGACTTCAAGGAAAATAAAGTGATTATTTAGCTGTATACTTTCATGAGGCAGATGGTGCGCCGCCATCTGGACGACAGAGTCCAAGCATAGAGACCTCCAGCACCTCTAACAGAACATGTAACTACACTGGAGATGGAACACAGAGCGACAAAATCATCCCAGAACTAAGCCATACCAGGAGCGGCTGAGGGCCTCAGAACTAACACCACATCAAACCAGACAAGACAAGGCTGATCTCATAAGAGACCCTTAAAATACTATTGTAATTAGAAAACGTTAATCCAGAAAATCTACTTTAAAAGAAACACCGTAACTCATTCACCTGACAGCAGCTTCAAGCTCAACACACAAATGAAGAACAAATTCTATTCAAAAGATAATAAATCGACGGAACACTTACCCACCCCAAGCTGTAGAGTTATGGCGGTGTTATAATTATCTCCTGATCACTAGGTTGGTGTTAGGATTAAGGCCCATCAACCTGTGGAATTTCTTATGATTCAGTTATTATATTTGATCCTTAACTGAGCCATAACTTGTAATTTTCTAAGTTTAGAAAAACCTCATGACAGACATCCGCCCTGGCATGCCTGGTGGGCATGACAGGTGAGCATATACGCATTTTATACAAAGACTAGACCCTCATTTTCCTCCGTATCAGGTACCTAGATTGTTTACATGCTTATGTTACAAACACACAAGTTCCTGTACTTTAAACTGTTTGCTGTATGGCTGATCACGTCGACATGGTTGGGGTAACCAACCACGTGTCCTCCACGTGGAGCCATCATGGTCACAGTTGACTAGTATAGTGTTAGTGTATAGGAATACAATTGAATATTAGAATGTTGACAGTGTATCTTTATATTGTGTTTTAGTAACTTCTTTTGCTTGATAGTTAAGATTGTACTTTCATTTCTTATCACTACAGAAGAGTAAGATTGTGATAGAATGTGTATTCTACAGAAAACCCCTTTAGCATATACAATTGCTGCCGAGCTTCATATAATATAAACATATTCTTCAGTTCATAATTTAATTTTAATTTTGCCCCGAAGGGCGAGTTTATTGGGCAGTGCCACTCATCCTGTGAGTGGACACACCGCCATAGTGACAGTATTGGGCAGCGCCACTCATCCTGTGAGTGGACACACCGCCATAATGACAGTATTGGGCAGCGCCACTCATTCTGTGAGTGGACACACAGCCATAGCAGCATGTACAACACTCCCCAATAGGAAGAAAACCCGCTGGGTTGTTCATCCTGTCACTTATACCCAAACGCAAATGGGACTTGCTTAACCGTCTCAAGTGAACAGTTTCTCAAACTAGGAGATTAACATCTGTCAACTCTTAAAATCTTACGTTATCTTGCGGTTGTAAAATGGGGGAATCTCTTAAGAACAGTATCTATATTTGACAATTAGTATTTTCCTAACTCAGACAATATGGGGCTTATTATTCTACACATATTTCTAATGTCTCTTAGGTGTTCACTCTCTCTCAGATAGTGGTCAAGGCGGTGTCCATCACTCTCACTGCAGTTAATATATATCCAAGTCCTCGTCAGGCTGGACCACAAGGCTCATTATTTAATTTCATATTAATAATGTATCACACGGTCTGGAGAACTGGGATTCTTTTGCGGGAAACTCATAAAGGGCCACGAGCCTAAATCATCGCATCATAAGATAATGTTATGAAGGTAACACAATGGCTTACTGTCGTTGTTTAAGACTACGACTATGTACCCTCAACACTGTGTCCTTGCAGGTGGGTGAGAGGAGCGGGAAAATGAGACGTGTGGCCACCGTGGCCACCTGCACCCTTAATCAGTGGGCCATGGACTTCCAGGGCAACATGGAGCGAATCATTGAGTCGGTGGAGCGGGCCAGGGCAGCGGGGGCCAGGTACAGATGCGGGCCAGAGCTGGACGTCACGTAAGTTAATATATATATATCGCTTATTGTGTTCCACGCGAAGACGTCTCCTAGGGGCCGTAGTCGGTGAAATAAAGCAGGATCCTTCTCACCTTTCACCTTGTTTATCTCTGAAACAACTTACTTAACGTGATATACTGTATATTTAAATTTTCGGAAACTGCTGATAATGTTCCAGTTTCTTATCTTGCAAGTTTTCATAAAAAAATCAATATTATCCCATTACTTGGTACACTGGTCACGGCGTGAAAATTATCAAATACACCGTCCACAGGGGGTACAGCACCAGTTCATGACCCACCGTCCACAGGGGGTACAGCATCAGTACATGACCCACCGTCAACAGGGGGTACAGCACCAGTTCATGACCCACCGTCCACAGGGGGTACAGCACCAGTACATGACTCACCGTCCACAGGGGGTACAGCACCAGTACATGACCCACCGTCCACAGGGGGTACAGCACCAGTTCATGACCCACCGTCCACAGGGGGTACAGCACCAGTACATGACCCACCGTCCACAGGGGTACAGCAACAGTACATGACCCACCGTCAACAGGGGGTACAGCAACAGTACATGACCCACCGTCAACAGGGGGTACAGCACCAGTACATGACCCACCGTCCACAGGGGTACAGCACCAGTTCATGACCCACCGTCCACAGGGGGTACAGCACCAGTACATGACTCACCGTCCACAGGGGGTACAGCACCAGTACATGACCCACCGTCCACAGGGGGTACAGCACCAGTACATGACCCACCGTCCACAGGGGTACAGCACCAGTTCATGACCCACCGTCCACAGGGGTACAGCACCAGTTCATGACCCACCGTCCACAGGGGGTACAGCACCAGTACATGACCCACCGTCCACAGGGGGTACAGCACCAGTACATGACCCACCGTCCACAGGGGGTACAGCTGCGGGGACCACTACCACGAGAGCGACACGCTGCAGGGAGCGTGGGAGGTGGTGTCCCAGATAATGCAGCACCCGGCCTGCGCTGACATCATGGTGGATATAGGCCTCCCAGTCTCCCACAAGAACGTCATCTACAACTGTAAACTTGTCTTCTTCAACAAGTAAGTCAATATATTTCATATCAACAATATTCTGACAGCGGTTATCGTTGATCTCCGTCATTGTACGAGGGTCAACCCGTCCTCAGACCGAGCTCGTTAAAGCGGCGGCCGTCCTCACCACACGTGGCCAACAGCATCAGTGCCTTCTTGTTAATTAATGAAAAAATAAACTAATTGGGTAGTGACTTATAGAACACTTGGATTTATGAAGGATTAGTAACTTAGGCTTGCTTGAGTGTTCTTCTTTAATGATATAAAGTCGTCTTGACTGGTAAACAAAAAGTGAAGGTCTCATCCCAGCAAAGAAGTGTCAACATCACATTCTTATGGCGGGAAAACTTTAACCATACTATAGATATTTTAGCTGATTAAATTCTTGTCAGATTTAATAGGTAATAATATTGTAATGTAAAAATCATGTATGCTTTCCTTAGGAGAATTCTGTTGATCCGGCCCAAGATGATCGTCGCTAACAACTTCAACATGGGGTCGAGGGAGGGCCGCTGGTTCACTCCCTGGCGCAAGGTAACACTAACGCCTCACACTACACTACGTCACATGAGTAGCCTGGCCACCTTAGTCCTCTTTATCAAGGAAATACACTTGACACTTGACTTGAAAGCCTGGCCTGTCCTCAGACCAGGCTCGCTAAATCGGCAGCCGTCCCCCCCCCCCCAAACACGCATTCGTCAATTTTAACGTTTGTTTAACGTTTTAAAGTTGGTTTGTTTTCCATTAGTGAATAATAAAATTAGTTTATACAGTATAAGTTATATGTATAGTTAAGCGAAGGTTAGATGGTTAAGTTCTATTGGCGATTATTTGCATTTGAAGTACTTGAGCGAAGCATTTACAGTGTTGTGAATCGAACAAAAGTCGCAGCAAAACACTTGTCCAAGAAGTGTTCGAATGTCATCAGTTGTGAGTCGTGTGTAAACAGTTTTTTCCATTCATAAACAGGGGGTTTGGCGGGTGCATGGAATAGACTTTAGCCTTTGTTTGTGAGGACGGGCTGCTTAAAACTACATTTGATTTTTTCTCGAGCAGTGCTTCGCTCACTTTGTGTTAGAAGCACTACTGCAAATCCTTCACTCGTGTAATGACGTTTTACTATGCTAATGGCTGTACTTTGCAGAGTAAAAATATAATAACAATAGTTGTTTTGGTTTTGGTTCTTGTTTTGTTGTTACTGTGTATTGTTATTACGTTAAAGTGAGTGCACAAATAATGACTGCACAGGGAGGTCAAGTTAACATAACTTTCACTAACGATAAAACGGTTGTTTTCCTCAGAAAGAGCTACAGGAACATTTTTTTTCTTTTTGCAGTTATTACTATTATAGAAGTTTGTAAACGTCCGAATTATGGTGATTTGTCAAGTAAACAGCATTATTCACAATGTCTGCCCTTAAGGCATATTTATATTAATTTAAATCTTAAACTCTCACTATCCTATGTAAACCTGATCACAGGGTCATTGCATAGTCATCAGCACTCTTCTTTTCTGGTGTTACACAATTTTTAAAGTAGTTTTGATACTGAAGGAACACTTTCTGATGACCAAATATTTTTTAAATGGACGAATATCCACTAGGGAGAATACACGGATGGCTTCCGTATTTTATATTACATCTAATTATATTAGATCTTGAAGAAAGTTCCTGTTTGTGCCAAAAGTGTTGAAATGTAAATATTGTCTAGCAATGCAGGTTTTATCGTCTTGTCCCACAATGGTTCACAGCTCCCTGCGCTATGTTCACGACTAAAATATACTTGCGCTTAGTGCCAAAACATTAATAAGCCTCCTATTGATGAGTGACCTTCAGCTCAATATCAAAACAAACTAGGAATCAGTAGTGATGTCAGGAGCTTTCCGATGTGGTCAGCGGTAAATTTAGCAGAGCCGTGGCGCCACAGGTGCGGGAGGTGGAGGAGCACCTGCTGCCTCCCTGTGTTACCAGCGTCGCCGGCCAGACCTCCGTGCTCTTCGGGGACGCTGTTATCGCCACCAGGGACACCACCATCGGCTACGAGATGTGTGTGGAGCTATGGAACCCGGAGAGGTAACTCCACTACCGTATTTGTGTCAGTTCTTCAGATGGACTTACAAATAATTATGCTATTTGATTAATTCCTTGACCCGTGAGATATGATAATACATCACATGGAAGACAATAACCAACAGATGTAATTAATTAATGTAAGGAAACACAAAGATGAGAGTTTACTTAACAGATAATAAATATCGCCTCTAAGGGCTTCATCAAATCAAATAAAGATTCGTCGTCGGATATTAAAGCCTATCTAATCTTGGCGTTTCTCTATTGTGTTCTTAGTACCTCCCCCATTACCATAAATAATTAATATTTCACCGAAATATAGCAACAAAATTTGGAATGTAGCAAAGTATTATGATTTTCACTGGGTGACATGTGGGTCAGGTGAACAAGAAGAGCAAAGGGGTAGAAATAGCTTAAGCTACTTTATCCCTTTGAGATGTATTTTCTTGTCTGAATAAACGTACTTGAATAAGAGCAAACTACGAGTGACTGACACGGCCGCCACGCCCCAACAGCCCGCACGTGGCCATGTCCCTGGATGGCGTGGAGATTATCTGCAACGGGTCCGGGGCACTGCAGGAGCTGGGGGCCGCCGACGACACCTACAGCTGCGTCAGGCGCGCCACGGCCAAGACTGGCGGCTGCTACCTCTTCGCTAACCAGCGAGGCTGCGACGGTGAGTTGATTCCCCATTTAATTACCATAGTTGTGCATCGTTAAAGGGCCGCATTTATTGCTAAGTTACGTCAGGACTTTGCAGACTGCCAAAATTGTTTGGCAATCATATTTATAAATTTTCTCATAAACTTTTACATATCTGACTTCATTTGCATATGCACGACCATGTACCTGTCATTACTGACACGACCATGTGTACCTTTCATTACTGACACGACTATGTGTACCTGTCATTACTGACACGACCATCTGTACTTGCCAAGTTACACTGAGCAGGAGAAATTCGCCCTGTATGGCTATGTATAATGTAGCGTGCTCCCTGCCTCAGGCAGTTCGGGTTACTTCGCGGGAGACGCGTATATCGGAATGAATGGCGAGATAGTCGGGTGCGCGGCGGGGTACAGCCTGGCGCAGGTGGAGGTGGTCACGGCCACGCTGGACCTAGAGACCGTCCGCCGCTACAGGAGCCTCTTCCGCAGCAGGTGCGAGCAAGCTGCCGCTAGCCCCACCTACCCCAGGGTCCAGGTACTGCCATGAATGCTCAGGTTCCAATGTAGTGTTGTCAGTGTTCAAAAATCAATTTGTGTAAACCGATAAGTGCATACATTCATATTTATGAAGAGTTGCAATCAGTATCATTAATTACTAGCAGTCTGAACTATACAGACCTATTACACTGCAGGTAGACTTTTCCCTGTGCAGTGAAGTGGCATACCTGCCGTCCTGTGATCCGGTGGTGCCCTGGGTGCCCAGTGTGGCGCAGCAGGTGGTGGAGGGCCCTGCCTGCTGGCTTTGGGACTACCTGCGCAGGTCCGGAAGGAAGGGGCTCCTCCTATCTCTCGCTGGAGACGTAGACTCCTCGGCCACGGCGGCCATCGTCTCCTGCATGTGTCACAAGATTGTCGACGCCGTCGCTGCTGGGGATAAAGAGGTTAGCGATAGTTAATCTTGTATATTGTTTTATTTATTTATTTATTCATTCAGCCAGCCAGTCAGTCAGTCTGCCAGCCTGCCTGTCTGTCTATCTGTCTGTCTTCAGGAAAGCTCTCAATGTAGACTTAGATGAGAGCCAGTGGGACCAAGTCACACTGCCAGTTAGATTTGGCGAAATAGGCATACAAAAGATAACTGAGGTAGAGCTTCCAGCATTATTATCCTCATGCACAGCAGCCAACGAATTAGTTGGGAAGATCCTAGCAGAGCGTATGAGAGACTCAGTGGGAACTCATGATCCTAAGTTGATTGCAGCAGCCAATCAATGGGAAACCATTGCACATCTTTTACTCTGACCACAAGCCCCTAAAGACCACAGACAGGCCCACTGGGATAGTCCCATAAAGGAAAAGATTGCCACAACAATGCTTGAAAATGCATCTGCTGGGAACAAAGGCCGCCTCCTAGCGGTAATAGCACCCCATGCCGGGGATTTTTTATTTGCTGTGCCCAATGCAGCCCTGGGAAAGGTAAGCTTGATTGTTCCTAGGGTCTGCTTACCTTTTTTTTATTGCCGCTCCTACCTGTTGTGCAAGTTTCATTGAGTGATGGACTTTGAACCAAAGATCCTTTTCTTCATCAATCTGCAAGGTAATGTTAGGCATGCAGCAAGATCCTTGTACAATATTAATAAAGCGTAGTTTTGACATAATGCGGTTTCCATTTAGTGAATGAAAATGTTATATTACATGAATTCATATTGCACATAGATCCACTGTACTAAAGCTTGAGCCCATCTTGCAAGTGCAGGTTGTGTGTGAGATCCAGAGGATAACGGAGGATGGGGAGTATGTGCCTAGTGATCCCCGAGAACTATGTGGCCGCCTGCTGTACACGCTCCACCTGCCCTCGCCTCCACCTGCCACTCATAGTGCCAACCAGATGTGCTTGCCTCCATCTGCCGCCCATTTGGCTCACCAGCTGGCCAAGGAAATCGGCAGGTGAGATTCAAGTTCCAATAAGTTTATTGAGACAATAAAATACAATAGCTTAGGCTATTTTATACCCCCCCCCCTGACAGGTAATGTATTCTTCCTGCACCCCAAGCATGAAAGAAACCAGTCTTATTCGTATTTATAATGACAAAGTCTTAAATAGGTTCTTGAGCCCAACAGAAACATTTGTAATTCTTCCATTACCACACCACAGGATGGGTATGAAGTACATAATATACCATGTTGGATAAATACAGTGTAAACACGTGTGTAACAGCAAGTACCAGAGCGTAGCTGTGGAGGGCGGAGTGTCGGCCATAATGGAGAGCTTCACAGCAGCCAGTGGCTCCTGCCCCAGACACCAGCACCAGGGAGGATCACCCGTAGAAGAAGAAGCCTTCGACCATCTCCATTCACGCCTTCGCATGACTATGGCCTACCTCTTTGCCCAAGTAAGTTTTGCTTATTTAAAAGTATTCCAAGCAATTAAGATATATGATCTCTTTTTTGCAGCATATATTTAGAATATTACAGATCAGTAAAAATGAAATTTAGCAATTCAATTCAATTTTTTTTATTATGCACCCCATACCCATCCCATGGGCAGTGGTGGAAAGGTTTACAGAGGCACATAATGGGTTCAAAAACTGAGCCCCATAGTTCGTTTAGCTAAGCAAGTGACAATCTTTTGAAGCTAGTTACATAAATTTTAATGTTATATATACATGTCCATATACATATACAATCAGCTACCCTGCTTTACAAATGTTTGTCATAACACTCATTAAGACTGGTAGACTTATTACATTTAAGTTATAATATTTAAATATCATTTTAGAATTGTTGCACTTAATTCTGTATATACTACTTCAGCATGCGAATATTTGAGAATTAAAGTTCTTGATATTTAATCTTGTTACTCTCGTTTTATGTATTTACCAAACATGTAGCATACACCAGGAAAAGTGTGTTTATGTATTGTAAAGTGTGACTCTGCATCAGCTGGGACTGTGGTCACAAGGCCGGACAGGGGAGCTGTTGGTGCTGGCATCCAGCAGTGCTGATAACATCATGGCAGGCTCCTGGGCCAAATACGGAGACACTTCAGCTGATGTTAACCTCCTGGCTCGCTTTCCCAAGAAAGAAATTGAGAAAGCTCTCTTGCTGTGGGCTAAAGACAAGTGAGATTGCATATTAGAACATTACATTTAAAATTGTATTATGATAACGAAAATCAGCATGTAATTTATTTAGCTTCTTATTATTGTGCTTCCTTTCTGAACACTGAACAGCACATACTGTATATGTTACTGTTCAGGAGAATTTCATTATGTTGCTCATTTTCAGACTAAACCTTCCGGTTCTGAAAGATATTGTAGACTCCAGAGCAAGAGAAAGCGAAGGTAAAACCCTAACAGAGGAAGAGATGGCTGTGATGAGGAACCTGCAAGCAATGGAATATTGTGGTCCTTACTCAATGTTCAGCAGGCTAATGTATCTATGGAGAAATACATGCTCTCTTAAGCAGGTACTATTTATCATTTTTTCTTGGAATAAATAAATTTGATGAGAGGTCAGTTTTACTGCAATACAATACTGTATTTGTATTGAGTACTGGGTGACCACCTGTCCCAGCACAGCTCAAGAGCTCATATTCCATAATGTAAAATGCAGAGGTTCTACAAGTTTCTATAATTTCATGTTATAATTTTGTTATTGTGTTTACAATATCTTATATTATGCTTTTATGTGTTTATAATATATTATAGGCAGCTTAGGTAACCAGGGCTGACCCATTGCCCCCCCCCCATGACCATTCCCCCAATTACTCTGCATAGTTTGGTGAGGCTGGCCCCAAGTGCTTTAACCTTAGCCACACACACACACACTAACAATTTTAATATATAATATAATATTTTTTAGTGTTAAATTGTAAAAAAAAAATTATTTCACTTAGCATTGTCTTATAGGTCATCTTATTTTTATTAACATTATATACCATTTAATTTATAAGGATGAATATGAATCAATAAATATTCACTTTTTTTTATACATGAATACATTATAACAGTTGCAAACAAAATCAGTTATAAATGTCCAATAAATTTCCTGAGTATAAACCCAGTTCAATAATAGTAATAATAATATTGGATTATTGTCTTGTGTTTAATTTCAAGAGCAAACATTTTTAGAGCTGAGGACTGACATCAGGGAGAAATGTTGTATCTGATCTCTTTGCTGATACTGCATCAAGTGTGCCAAGTATTGTTGTACATAATTAGCAGCAGTGTACCAACAAACTCCATCCAAACCACCATTTCATGCAGCCTATCTTAAGTGTTAATTTTGCCAACTTGTAAGAAACTGTGTAACATTAATAAAGTTACAACAAGTGTAGTCTGGCAACATTTAAACTAAATTCTTTGTAATATTTTTTCATCCTTTATACATTTTACATTAACTCCTGCTGTGTATACAGTATTTTCATTAATAATCTTCAAAAATAAAAGCATTGCCTCAAACCTCAAAACAAAAATGTAATTCATTGGATGCATTGTAATCAAAGATTTGTGTGTACTGTACTATAGAAACTCATAATTCTCTTCAGATGGGAGAAAAAACAAAGGCATTTTTTCGGTGGTCCAGCCAGCAGCGGCACAAGATGACAGCTCTGGCAACCCCCTACTATGTGCCAGGGACGGGTCCTCCAGATATCGACCGGCCCTTGTTCTACAATCACACCTGGTCCTGGCAGTTTACGGCCATTGATAGGGCGGTAAGTGATAGGAGTACAGTAAAACCATACCTATATCAGTCACTTGTAAACATAATCTTAAAAAAAAATGAATGAATAAATATGGCATCATATTCCTGTTATTAGTGTGATGGTGCAGATTCTCTGTGATGAAGTTGTTGAAAATAATGTGGAGTGACAGATGATATTAAATACCTAACATTTCATTGTAACACTCTCACTTCAAGAATGTGCTTCTAAACATCACAAAAGGGAGACACTAAATGATGATTTTGCATTTTTATGATCAAATAATTATTTGTATACCTATACTTGCCTTGAATTCTCTTAACAGGCTGTATCAATAATGTCAATTTTCATTATTAATGCAGGTTGCTGTTCTCAAAGCAAGAATTATCTGCAGTCACTACTATACCAGTATTAAACACAGTTCATATTTCCTGACAGAACATTGTCTTATTTTCTTACATAAATTCACTATTTAATATTTTAACAGGTTGAACAATTAAACAGTGAAAAAAAGTGAAGACTGCCTCATCACCACCTGACTGCTACTCGATACTACGCTGTACAGAACTTTAAATTGCCAGTTTCTACAAAAAAACTAAGACTAGACAATAGAAAAAGGCCTCGTTTCCTGCAAGGTCGGCGTTTGACTCCCAATGGTCTGAGCGGTTAGGCATGGTCCTCATAACCCCTTCCAAGTGCTGTGTAATCATACTGGTTTTGCACTTGCTCCTCATACTGTAATTACATTACCTTGCCAATATCCATTGCAAATACGTACACTTTGTTTTTAATGGATTCAGTTCTTTCTGCAGTTCTAAATGACAAATTTGGTCAAACTAAACTATTGGAAGCAATGAAGATGAATGTTACTTTCTCATTACACTTTTATTAGAAAATATACAAATCAATCACAATTATCATCTTCCTTGAGATTATACAATCATAAAACACAGGTACTGTATATAACTTCATGTCATGCATTACCACAATTCAGGTATGTTGTGTGACCAATAAAAAGTGATAATTCTTGTAAAATTAGCAATAAAATGCCTAATACAGTAGCAGTGTATAAATGTCATCCACAATTAGGAGCTACAAAATAACCATATTTTGACAGTGTGGTCCAAAGATTATTTTATGATCCATAAAAGGTAATATTTTTAAAATGCTGGAAGGTCAAATTGACTACTTGACACTTATATTTCCTATGATTCATTACACACATCATGTGTGTAACTAATGAGATTTACCAATGTATAACCATGAAACCTACATACATTGCACTGCACATAGCTAGTAGTTAAAAAATGCCAACATAAGACGGAGAAGACCGTAGTAAGATGAAACAAACTTCTAGTCCAAACTGGAGAGCATCAAGTTCGGTTTTATAAAACAAATGAGTGAAACTAGTAATTTTTTTTTTCTACTCTGCAAACACACCAGACTTCTACCATAATAATAAAACGCGAACCAGATTATGGCAAGTCTTGAAAAAGCTTTTCCATTACTACACTTGATAGCAAAAGAATAGCAAAGTACTGTACTTACAAAACTTACTGTTAAAACGTAGTTGAAATGGTTTCTGCTCAAATGAATAGTTACAATAGTTAAAGAGAAAGGCAATTAAGAATAATTAAATTTACTACACAATTTTTAATTCAGCTTAAAATAACACATGAATTGGCTTTTTCCACTTGCCATAAAATAGAGCTACAAAAATAATGTTTAGAAATTTATTCTACTTACCATAACTATCAGCTTTAGACTTTCCCAATGTTCATAATTATGGCTTTTTAATGATAAATACTTGCCTTGCTCTATGTATTTTATTATTCAATATAATTTATTATTATACTTTCATATCTGAGGTTAGTTTCAAACTTAGAAAAATAAGAATAAAAACATTTTATTCAGTAATTACTGCATTGCAAATGCAGTTATGCAATACTGTATTATAATATAATACATATGGCTCTTTACTTTCATATAAGAATAAATGTTACTGAAAACTGAAGTACTTGCAGTCCAGTAATTTTACATCCCAGGTATTATTTATTGGCAATACAAAAATGTAAAGCTATTTAAATACAAGTTATGATGGGATCCTAACCTCTCCAAGTCCATAATACTGTATCCATATTGCTGGGCTGGCCTCTCCTACACTGTATCCAGGATACAGGAAAAGTTAGTGTAACTAAATCAATCTATCACTGTCTGCTTATTTAATCCAAGAAAAATTCCTAATTATATACATAATTTGTTTTCCAAAGCTGATGATAGATCAGTAATGAGCCAGGTCTCCAAAATAAGCTGTAAGTGCCTTCTTCTTCCTCCCCATGTGGTTATATTCAATGTCAACAGTGCCACCAATGCCAGCAAGTTCAATAATCTGTTGAGAAAGAAAAATTAATATAAAATTAAAAATATTCCAGTATCCAAAGTTTATATTTATTTATCGTATACAAAAAAATCCTCAAACCTAAAATAAATGTATCTGAAGCATTCATGGCACAATATTCATCCCTACATCTCACTTGTGAAATCCAGGTTTTGAAAATAATCAATCTCATACAATTTTGAAGCATTTTCAAGGAATGGTAAAATATTGTCTTCACTGATCCTTTCTTTGGTTTACTTTCTTCAAAACATCTCCTTTGTATAGCTATAATTATTCTTGGATAAGGTATACAGCACAGTATATAAAAATAATAATTCTAATCCACACAACTAGGAGTTACTAAATATAGTATGAGAATTCAAACCTGATAAATGTTGCTGGTCCTTGGTAGGTAGAGGGCAATATCAGTGGTAATAGCTTGTGCAGCAGCTAACAGCTCCTCACAGCTAAGCACTCCACCTAAGCTTCTCACATCATATACATCATCACGAAGGTACTCTATACCTCCCCATGGTGGGCTAAGAAACACCACATCAGCCTGTGCAAAATGTGAATTTCAATTAGTAATTTTACAATTGTTATATACATTAGTGTATATGCAGACGAGGAGTCACAATAATGTGGCTGAAATAGGTTGACCAAATCGCGCACTAGAAAGAAGTCCTGGACTATTCTCAAGTTGATTGTAATGAGGGAAGGAGGAGAGGCAATAAATAAGATTAGTGTTCTTTTACATACATACTATTACTCACTATATTACAATAAACTCCAGCCACCTGCTTATTGTATATTTAAATTCATTTTACTAGAATCTATATCAAGTTTTTGATTACTTAAGGTATTCTTCCAATTTAATCCAGTAACAATTTTCACCATATAAATAATAATAATAATACCTTATAGTAACCATAAATACACATGGTGCCTACTTCAGTGACATGTTTTGCTCCATCTTTACATTTCATTAGTTACCATTCTCTCTCTCTATTTCAAATTATACATTACTTCCATGTAAACATCTCTCTATGTTTTTAAAGGTGTCATCTGAGACCCATTCATCAAAAATCGTCAATACAGACCACGCCTCATGTTGGTATACCCCGAGCTCTACTACACAGTCCCGCATTCAAGAATTTTCCTCTTTTCATCATCCCTTTAACAGGTCATATAATATGCATACACAAATCAAAACAGCCCTTACCATCTTCTACAAAACACAAAATGTAATTTAAAAACTGCACAGCATATGTTGTAAATATAAAAGAAATCTCCTCATTCATACCAATAAACTTTAGCACATTTTTTAGGGGGAAAAGCAAGTAAAGGCATTGTAATCTGAATTCTTTTTAAGACATTATTTTCCAATTTTAATAAAATATTCTTGAATACAAATACACACCATGAACATTTATATATACCAAAGACATTACGTCAGCTTAGTCGAAGCCTATAACCCTATGCATACCAACTCTTACTGTTTTTACGTCTAGACACAAATAATGTATTGATCAACTAAATAACTACTGTAAGTGATATGTTTTATAAATTTTCTGAAAAATGTCCCTTTTCTGAGACTTTAACAAAGATATGAAGAGAAGTAGATTTACCTTCAGCATGGGGGCAAGTTTGAAGAAGTCTCCAATAATGAATTCAATGCGGTCAGCTACTCCGTACACATTAGCATTGTGGCGCGCAAGAGCAATTTTTTCTGGGTCTATGTCTATGGCTATCACTAGAGGAAGATGATAAAACAAGTGTTAGTCTTATCCACAACTCTAGTAATGCTACCAAATAGCTTGCCTTGTTTCAGATAAAAGGATCTTCATTAGACTAAAAATGTAATATAAAACAAACAAAATTTATCCTCATTTCTACCTGTGAAGTGGTACTGTGATGGCTACATACATACATAAAACCCACAATGTTCATTACTAATTGCTCATGTTTACATTTGCACTTCATCAATTCCACCAACATTTTTCACTAAGTACTATCTCCAACTACCTTACTTCTACTTTTTTTCACCAGTTAACATTTTCTTTTATATTTAATAATACACCTACCTGGCTTTCCACCAGTCTCTATGTTGCACATTTTAATGTGTTTTTAAAATGGCCTCCTATTTTCTCAAACTTTAATTTTTCTTACCACAATGTTCCCTCACAAATAATTTATTCCCATTATACAGTACCCCCCTTTTTTCTTTTCTCTCTTTACGATACCATCCACAAAACCCACTTTGTTATCACCTAGTTTTACCACCTTTTCACCAAGCACTTTCTTTCACTTCTACCAGCACACTAGCCAATTCAAAATAAATATTCATTGTATACATCCTTCATGATTAAGATTCATCTATTCTCAGTCACTTCCCACAAGATCATTAACAATTTTCCTTTTGCTCTTATCAGCCAAGTAGATATCACACCTAACTTCTCCACTTTCATTGGTTCATCTCTTGGTCTCTTTTCTACCCTTTCTCCCTAATACTACTATGGAGAATCGGGTCAAGTATTCTATGCAAAATGTATAAACTACCATTATAAAAACTGTAATGAACAAATATTCAAATATAAACATTTTGATGCAACAATTATTTGGAAAACCACTCACCATGGTTGCATGTCAAGGCAAGCTGTATAGCACTGCCTCCTGCTCCACAAAAGGCATCCACAACTGTATCACATCTGCATCTATCAGCATGATGAGCAGCAATCAACTCTGGAGTCACTGAATACCATGATTCTGAAAAAAACAGCGTTCGATGTAATGAAACGCCATTTTCTGGGCGAGTCCCGGAGGCTCCCCAGAAAATAAATATATATACTTTATATATATTTATTTATACTGGGCTGGTATACATGTATTAGACTGTGGCATCAGTCAATTCGAATGGAAATCTAAGCCTACCGGGGACCACAAGCCAGAACCTGGCCCCTTTAGAGAGGCACCAGGAGCAATGGCCTATGGAAAGACCCATGTATTTGGAAGCATTCCATGTTTGCAGGCGATGAGTCACAATAACGTGGCTGAAGTATGTTGACCAGACCACACACTAGAAATTGAAGGGACGACGACGTTTCGGTCCGTCCTGGACCATTCTCAAGTTGATTGTGTCACAATCGACTTCAGAATGGTCCAGGATGGACCGAAACGTCGTCGTCCCTTCAATTTCTAGTGTGTGGTCTGGTCAACATTCCATGTTTGTCATCGACCGGAGTTTGGCACCAGAAAGGTAGGCATAACAAAAACCCCACATTGTAAAAATTGCTACCTAAAAACTGAATAGGGAGGCAGAACTCCCAAACTAACACAAGGAAACAAGAAAATGTCACTAACGAAGTCGCGCCGATCGTCCATGCAGCCACCCCTACCCAGGAGGAGGGGGCTGCAGTGGCCCTACCCCCTGCGCCGGCTGCTCCAGCTATCAGTTCCTCAGCTGATGTGGACTGTGGCAGTCGTCGACTCTGGCCTCTGACTCCTTGCAGTTCTGTGCCTTGTGGTATGTGGTGTGCAGGCCAGGAGTAACTGATCAGTACTGAGGCTGCATGTGCTTAAGGCCACTTTCCCTAGGCACCCTGTAGGTATTGCCCTTGCATCTTGGGGTTCCCTTCCACAGGGCGTTCGGGAACATGTTATCCATTCAGTCTTGGTCCCAAAGGGTTCGGATAGCATGTGGCTGACTGTAATTAAATTTTCATTTGTAGATAGTTTGTAGTGCCTAATGTTTGTTCATCAATTAAATGATAGTGAGTTGGTCTCTTGATGGCGGACTGAGTTAAATTCAACATTGTCTTCCTTCTCTAACTGCAAGACAATTTGTAATGTTACTGTCATAGTGGGTGAATGAGTCATCAGAGTCTGGCAAAGAGTGTGTGCACCTGTTGAACTATTGTATATATTGGCCACTGGCTCAAATCAGAAAACGATGCATCAATGCTAAAGAAAGTTGATTAATATATTATAGAAAATAAACAAAATCACATATCCATTCATTATATCTTTACATTATATATCACAGATTAAAAAAACACCATTACATCCAGGTTGTCATTCACAGCAGCACCCAATCACTTCATGACATGATGTGTGTGCTTCTCATGAATTGCCAAATACATTGCTGTACAAGAAATACATTCATACTTCCAATAAACTGCTTCCACCCAGCCCTATCTTTTACTACAGTATATCCTGTGCATGTTCACACACATTCCCCATATCTTCTCACACTTGCTCATTGGATCAATCGACGGCCATACTGGCCTTCCAATCCATCCCCTGCCTTCAAATTCATTACAATATACACTATTCACTGATCTACCATCATCCACTCATTATGTCCAACCCACCTGAGAAAACTCTTCAATTTTGCATTTTATATACTTATGCACTCCACATCTCACCATGACATTTCAATTCCTTATTCTATTTATTCTATTTGTACCACACATGCTTATAAACTTGTCCATTTGTACTATTCTTACTAGTGATTTGTTCACATTCATTCCACGCCATCTTGCAGCCTTCTGCCTACATCTACACCTACAGTACTGGTATCCTATTTTTTTTTTAACCACTGACTTAAATGCATCAATCACCATGCAATCTATTGTCCTCATTAGCAACTAGCACTTCATACTAGTTCCATATTCCCTATGTTTAACATACTACCATTTTCTTGTCTCCCTCTTATGTTTACTTTGCATCCATAAAATCAAAATTTTATTGTAAACTGCTTGTGCTATTTCCACACCCCGACTAAAAGTTTCTCTCGTTACTTTGTCCAACTCTGCATTTCTTTGGCATTATTCACCAAACATTTCTGGCGTGAATTCCATCATCGAGGTTCATTTATTTATAATCTACTGTAATTATCTAAGGTCACTATCAACTATCTCTGTACTCATCTAATAGTCCTCTCACATTCAATATCTCTAATTATACAGTACAGTTAACTTGATGCAAATCAACATTACCTTGGTCCAACTTTATACCCTCATCATACTTAATAAATAAACGATGCCTTTGGGCCCAGTATTTATGTATATCCTTGGGAATGTCAGGTGGTGGAGACTCTGCTATCACGCCATAATTTACTATTTGGCACCCAGAAATTATCTCCCTCCATGTTGCTCTTTCTGCCATTTCTGGATTCTGGTTAAAAGTGAAGCAAGAATTAATAACGTGTGACAGTAACACTACAGTATAGCTGAAAGTATGTCATGTTTTATTATGTTACTAAATACACTGCACCTCCTTTAAACTAGGTATGTTGAGATTACATGTCAGCCAGAATACATGTAATCTCAAGTACAGCAAGTACAAGTACAAGATGCTTGCACAGCAAGTACAAGATGCTGTGATGAATGAGTGTATGAGGAATAATGAGTGTGTATGAAACATGCAAACAAAATTAATTCATTTAAATAAGACAAGACAATATACATTACTGGAAGAAACTGAGAATATTGACTGATGCTCTACACAATACTTGAATAGGTTGAAAGGTTAACTTCCACAAGGGCCCCAGTAGAAGACTTACTTCTTCCTGCGTCTTTAATAATCCTGTAACACTTGTTGTAGACTCTGCATTTCCTTCTTCATCAAAAGTAGTATATGTTCTAGTCCAGTCTTCATGGTCAACATCATTACTTATTGAAAAAACTGGATAGGAATCATTCACCTATGAAAAAGACATATTATCTATATATTTCAATGCCAAGATAATCAATCACTACTAATTTTTCAGCTACAGCATATTTCGATGTTCATCACAGTACTGTACATCTACATTTAAATGGTGGAAGTTCAATATTTTCCTCAAACATGTTAACAATTTTTCACAGTTCATACACAGTTCTCATACCAGGAGCAAGGAAGTTCTTAGGTGTAAATTTACATTGCCTAACATTTATTAAATGTCTACATTATTATGCATGATTTAACACGTTCACTGCCTGATCACACATATTCTGTCATAAAACAAAAAACTGAAGTGTGTGAGATAACGCAAACGTCGTATTAATTAATTTAAAAATTTGTAAAAATTCCATTTATTGTCCGAATACTATGGGACTTATTTTAAAATGTGTGTCAACGTCTTCCCATTCCCTGTATACCTCACATGAGATCTTGACCCCGCCATGTGGGTGCCCACCCACGCTGGAGGCTCACTGTTCTCGTGACAGCCGCGACCTCTCCTCGAGTCGAAAAGTTCTCTCATTCCAGTTATTTTATCTCGGGTATTTATTGTTACCAGTTTTATAAACACTGCAAATTGACTTCCAAATGGATACTGATCAAAAACAGAGCCAATCCATGACAAAAGCATTGAAAGAAACATGTATGAGGAAAAAGTTGAGTGTTCGTCGAAAGTATAGAAAAGCGAGACTTGTATGTTCTTATATGCAAATATCCCTTTACAGTATTTTATTGCAAACAATTTGATACCAAATTGAACAATGTAGCATGAAAATTGAGGCGAGAAAGCTTAAAATAGTATAAACATTGAAGTGGTGAGCCCACGGGCAATGCTCGCGCTACCTTGCGGTGCATGGTGGGTCTAAAGTATAAAAAAGTGAAATTAATATGTTCTTATATGTAAATATTCCTTTACAGCATTCTATTGCAAACAATTTGATACCAAACTGAACGACGTAGCACGAAAATTGAGGTGAGAAAGCTGAAGAGATTTTAAACATTGGAGTGAGGTTGTGTGCTCACGGGCAACGCTTAGCCGAGCTTGTGATGTGCGGAGGGTTGCCCGCTGGGCCAGCGAAGTGTTAATTATTACAGTACACTTAAAAATAAGTTAGTGTAAGAGTGTTACACTAAAAATTTAACTGGAAAGTATTTTTTAACTTGACCCTTTTTGTTGATAAGAGCTATAACATTCTAATAAAGGCAGCAGTGTCTCACCTCAACTTTAATGAAACCTGTATAATTTCACACCCAAAGCATTAAGCACTCATGTATAGTATCACCAATACAAGACTCAAAAACAATTCCTTCCCCCTAGTGTAACATTCTGCAGTGAAATGTGCCTTACAACATGATGCAAGGCTGACAGTGTACAATAAGTTTACATATACATCAGGAATCTCTCAAACAAAAGGTTACAGCTGCACTTCACTTACCTGTTCATTATCAAGTAAATTCAAAGTCTCTAGATTTAAATGTGTTGTACCATCATCTGCAACATTCTTCTCCACTGAATGATACATTCTCTGATAGTCCCGTTTTTCTGAATGAACACGGAACTGAAATAATTTAAAATTTTAATGAAAGGTAATAAACCAGTTCAAATTTAAATGGTTACTTACAGAAGCAACATTCAGTGTAAAATTATCAGCAGACATCTAAAAATAGTCAAAATTTGCTAAAATTCCAGGGCTGGTTTCCATTTTGACTTTCAATGAGCTACCTTTGATGAACAGAATTTAAGGACTTGGCCGAGGAAAAGTCCCGGAATTAGTGTGACAACTGTAGGATTAGGTTTTCCTTGTCAATCTATATCATATGAGAAGCTTACATCATATAGAGCACTATATGCTCTATATATATATATAGATATACAGCACATACTGTAATTTTTATGGCATCCAGCAAAACACTGGCAAAGAATAAATCATTCTAAACATCAGAATCTTTTCATTTCACTGAAACAGATATAAAAATTATACTGTCTTTACCTCCTAGAAATACACATGAAAAGTTTGTACAAAATATTGAGTTAATCAAATTATCATGAATATCAATGAGTAAATTAATCTGACAAAATGATAACACAACCACACACACCCATTGTTTCTTACCTCATTTAATACAACACCCTCTGCAGGATTTATTGTGGAAGATGGTGGGAGAGAACAAGCCAGAGGTCGCAGCCACTTAAACAACTTGTTGTGATTTTTATCAACTCGATTCCAACTAAAAAAATAACAATACAGTTCTGTACTACAAAAACAATAAATATTGTAAAATAAATATTATATACTGTAATATATATATATACGGAATTATTTCAAATACAATAAAGAGAGTATGAAAGAAAAACATCTGAATCTTAACAGCACTAGGCAATAAATACAATTCATACCAAATTAAACACTGGTTAACAATTAACAAATTATGTAAATCAAATCTGGGGAATAATAAGACCCGAAACATTATGGTGGAAACAGTTGCATATAAGCAGAATAACAAATGTCCGGAAAGCAGTCATGAACGTAGATGAGGAAACCTTCAGAATACAGTATTATAAGTAACATCTTGTATCATATTGATAATGAACTTCCTTTAGATAATTAGGAACTAAAAACCTGTATAAGTGACTCAAGATGCAATTAGAAAAACTACTCGGCAGAAAATTAAATCAGAAAATTTAGAAAGAAAATTTTTGGAAACCAATGATTGGTGACAGATGACAGAATTATGTAATACTGAAATGGTACATTGGTGACAAAGGGAAAGGAATCAATTATGACATTTGCCTTAAATCTAACTATAAATGTAACATTTGCAAGTACACTAAAACTTTTTTTTCCTATTCACCTGTCCTCAGATTTTTAATACCTTTCCTTTAGTCCTAATTATTTGGCATATTGCAGTAGCAGAAAAACTTGACTAACCATTTTCCTTTAAGTGTGTCTAGAGGTTGGTTCTGAGGAAGAGAGTGATGCTGAGATTCACAGGACACTGGCAACTTCTCTTGAAAAGGCATCTTGAACACTTCTCCTGGAATTTATAAAGAAAGAACAAATAATTTATGAAAAACTGGTTATCAAATTCATGAAATTCAATGTCTTGAATGGTTGCTTAGTCACTATCTGAACCAGAAGCTGTATCTGCCCATGATCACATTTCCACAGGCATTGTTGACATGTGCTAAGTGTTGATAAACATCTTTGGAAAGGGTCTCACCAAAGATGTGCTTTAACAGGGCTAGGTGCTAGGCCCATTGTTGTTCTCATATACAATAAGCCATGTAATAACTAGATTTACTAGTTAATAACTGAATAACTGGACTTATTGTCTTTAACTTACCAGAGGGTGTAACTTCATACTGTAATTATCAATATTTGTAGATGAAACAAAGCTAATGAGGGAAATATGAACTAAGGACTGAAGAGCATTGCAAATAGACCTTAGCAAACTCTAGGAGTGGGCAGACAAATGGTTGCTATGAAGATAAAAGATGAAATCAACACTAAGAGTAAGGGAATTGGAAAAAATGACACGAGTGAATATAATTCCAACAGTAACATGGAAGGTACACAAACAAGGTAGCATCAACCACATATGCGAAGGAGGTACACACAGCATGGCATTTACAAATCTGAACAGCTCCACCATAGAGCTTCACCTCATGAAACAAAAAACTTGCAGTAGGTTACGGGAATTCAAGGTTATACCAGAAAACTATAATTATAGAAATTAAAGATATTTATTCTGAAAATTATCTTGAAAGCTTCAGTATCCATAACATTTATGAAACATTGAATAATTTACAAAGGATAATGCACTGGGAAATCAACATTCTACATACCTGAGAATACAGGAAACATCAGACCAAATAAATGGAATGCACTTGTCACCACAAAACTTGTAAAATGTGCAATTTCGTTTAAACGCTTAAGCCATGTCTCCCCTTGATCCTTATCACTGTCACATTTGGAAACTACTGCAGAGGTAACAAGGTTGCTGGCATCATAGGAGCCCGATTCATCAGAACTGTTAATACCCTGTGAAGAGGCACTGTTGCTTCTGTCACACTTACACACAAGTTGTGAGGTGGAACCATTAACTTTTCCATTAAGATCCTTATCACTGTCACATTTGGAAACTACTGCAGAGGTAACAAGGTTGCTGGCATCATAGGAGCCCGATTCATCAGAACTGTTAATCATGAAGAGGCACTGTTGCTTCTGTCACACTTACACACAAGTTGTGAGGTGGAACCATTAACTTTTCCATTAAGATTTCCTTCATCCTTGCATTCACTCATAGCACCTTCATTAGTACTATAAATATTTTGGTTACTGTGATCTTCGGAAGAGTATTTTAATTTTTTACTGCTTGCCTTTTTGGCAGAGTCTTTAGGATATAATGATGTTACTTCCAAGGACTTTCTCTCACTTCCATTTTTCCTAATCTCGCCTTCCTGGGACTGGATATACTGCAGAGCCCAGCCAAGGCCTGCACGCCCACTGAAATTAAATAATAATTAAAAATAGTATTCAGCATTTCAAAATAATCAACGTGTAATTTATTGTTTATCCAATGCAGTATTAGTTGAAGCTATGCAGTACCACAACAAGCAAGTATAACCTTGGTAATCCAAGTTCAATCGTCACAGTAATGTAACTCAGAAATACCGTTTTCTTTGAAGTTTTTTTTTTCACTGTAGGTACATGGCTTGCCTTTATTCATCATTAGCAGCAGCCTTCACTTTCATGCTTACCTTATACATGTTCCTTCTTATACTTATCAACCAAATTACATTTAGTAGACTTGTGTCTAATTTTTATGATTTTTAGAGCATAATCATTGATTTTTATATTATTTACCAAAGTATTATTTTGCTTAAAATAATACAATAAGCAATATGAAGAAATGCTGTCAAACCACCTTTCATTATTTATTAATTTCATCAGTAGAACACCTATAACAAAACTTAAATGATAAATACTTTAATGTTCATTAGCTTTCAGAATATATAATATAGAAGACTTACCTGGATTTAACTGGCTTTTTCTTTTTCTTTTTAGTCATGAGCTTCTTAATGCTAAGTGGAGCAGTAGGGAGACTGCCACTTTCATCCTCCTTTTCCTCAGTGTCAACAGATGATTCAACTTCAGATATTTGATCATTCTTCGACTCATCTGTTAAGTCTTGCATAACTAATTTTGCTTCATCGAGTTCTTCTGAAATCAAATACTCTGAAGAATCACAAGCCACACTGCTGCTCTCACCATGAGTAGGTTCTGTGTTCATAAATTCGCAGCTAGTGTAGTCTACAGGTGTTGCCGACACACACACATCAACCACATTTTTGTCCATTGATGGTGTCCTTTGACAATGTTCCATTGTGTTCTTATCATTCAAGTCTTTCAGACCTTCAGTTACAGTGGGCTGAATCTGCTTATCAGTAAATGTATGCACAGTATTTTCCATATTTTGTTTTTCAGTTTTAATATTTAGTTCTATGGTGGAATCTTGCAAATTTACTTTCATATCATATTCCATATCTTCTCTGTGTTCATTCCCCTCCCCTTGTCCCCCAAAGGTATCTACAATTCCACTTACATTTTCTTCTATATTTTGTAACCCTTGTTCAGCACTGTTATTAATGATCCTGCTTTTATCAAAATGTATACCAGCTTTCTGGTAGAAGAATTCATCCACACCATCATCCACTTCAATATCAAAACCATATAAAAAATTACGAAGGTGAACCCAGTACCTTTTGTCTGAATGTTTATCATAAAGTGAATCTAAAATATCTTTCTTCACATTTTTAGGAGCTAAGTTTTGACTGGAAGAGTTTTCCAGTACAGTCTGTATTTCAATATTATTTGAACTATTTTGATTATCAATACACTTCTCACTTTCTTCTATATTTTGTGCAGCATTACTTTCCAACAAATTCAATTCACAATTTGAGTTTTGTTCCTTCGAATTGGGATGAGAGTTGATTTGAATGGTCTCACCATCTATATGATTAACCTCGTCAGAATTCATCTCATCTGCCAGTAAGTTACTCTCTGTATCTAGTTCACAGTCACTGTTTCCCAACTCATCAGTAATACTAGGAATTATCCACGGGTATTCTTCCAGATATGAATCGTGCCACTCTACATAATCTGGAGTGCAGTGTTTTCGGTACTTATGTACCCAGGATAAAGGAATGTAAATGTCTTTCCAGGCCTCCCAATGCACCAACCAAGACTGCCACAGTTCGGGTGTTACTCCTGGAGGACACACATCTACCTGAAAAATAAAATGTAACATTATTATTTTTTCTTCTAATCCACCTAAATTTTCACATTCTTTTCTGTTTCTACTTTGGTCTACCAGTTTCTTTATTCAACCATGACATCATCTAAATGTTGTGTCTAGTCAACTGCAACTCAGTCTTAAAATAGTTTGTATTATGTTGTTTCTTTACCAAAAATTTGACCCATAGAATAAATAAGAGTATTCTTTAGTATTCTATGTACAGTATTCTAGAATACAGTACATAAGAGTATTGCTTGAGAGTACTGTACTAAGAGTATAGGTTCATATCCTCATCACGACTCCAACTGATTTATTCCCAAAGAATTCATATTTATTCTCCTTTCATTTTTAATTCTATAGATTCTGCTACTCCCATTCTTCTTAGTAACTGTTATCACTGACATTGCATCAAATTAACACACACACATGTATCACACTTCCCTCGAAACATGGGCATTTATGTTTCCTACTAAGATGGTTAAGAGTATGGGAGCAGATGGTGATGGTGTGTACAAAGAATGCATTAAAAATTAAATGAAGGAAGAAAAGATGTGTATAAAGTTGGAGATGCTGAAGGAAATGTAGGCAGATAAAGAAAGAGAAATGGATATCGTGGTGACGGTAGCAATGGCGGTGGTAATGAAATTAATTTACTTCCTTACACATAATGTATACTGTATACAAATGAATAATTATCTTTACCTTTATTTCAGAATCAGTCACAAAATTCTGGGACTTGTCATCATCTGTATGCTCATCAGCACCTGTCGAAGTTTTCTTTTCATATTCCCTGTTAATAAAAAATACTATTTACCAGGAAGCCAAATTTTAAACTAAACTTCTAAACTAAACCGAGTTTTCCAACTATCTTGGTTACAAGTATTTTATACTGCATATAGAAAACACTAATCATTACATGTACAATATAGTCCACTGTAGCACTCCATTGCATAGAAGATTTACTCCAGGACATTTACTTTTCTTAATGCTTCAAAAGCTCAGTGTTCCAGTCAGGTGCCTGTCACCCCCAACAGCACCAAGGAAGGAAACCATAAAAGTAAGCCGAGAATGACATGATAGTAAGAGAATATGTAAACAGCTAACATGCAGACCACCATACTAACATAGCTATTTGGGCACAGGACAAAGTGACGTGGCCATCTCACCCAAACCCAGCATGGACTGGGCCCACTATCTCATGACAAGAGCGGAAAGATTTGATTGATTCACCTGTTATCTTAAAGTGAGGTTCTGAGTTTTATGCCCACTTTTTAATACTTAGAAGAGACATTGGAGATTTGAAAATGCTCTTTTCCCCTGTAAGTAGAGATTGACAGATGCTGGCAGTGGCTAGTCTGTTCTTTGTAGCACTGGTATTCACATGGTGTCACTAACCTTGCACCACCAACAATGTTGTAAGAATGTGCAACAAGCAATGAAATCTGAAGTTTATTGCTATATGTGAATTCTGTACACTGAACAGCTGTACTATTACTTAGGAACATGAAAAATGTTAAAAAGTAACAGGTACTGTACTTAAATGCACACACACTAAATATGTACAGGCTACAGTAACTATTTTTCTTACCTAATATGATGTGATGACATATAACACTTAATCTTGCCCACCTCGGCAGAGCGTTCTTCACAATGATCCCCAGCTTCTTCATCTTTGCTTGTAAATTTTAATACAGCCATACCTTGTCCACACCATGTTGTCTCTATGTATCTTGGGAGACCCATGATTCTGTTAAAAAAAAAAAAAAAGCATATTAGCAGTCAGGAACAAATTAAACAAAATATTTGCATAATTTTTAAAATGAAGAAGCTGGAAGCTTTGGATAAGCTTTATTGATATGCAATAGGGAAGACATTTATTTAAACTTGGTTGTTAGGCAAAATAATTTAATAATTAATAATAATTTATTTTTTCAGGAATAGGCAGTCTATGTATATACGTCTGTATACACACACCTTAGACAAGTAGTCAGGTCACCACCAACTCAGCCACCCAAGGTTTTAGCAAGAGGAGGATATCATCCTAAAAGATTAGGCCTTTTGGTCTATAGTAGGGCGGTGTGCAGGACAAACATATCAATTGTGACACTAGCTCTCCACATATGTCAGTTGCTTAATTTAGAAACCGTACTTGTGGTCGATCTCGAACCCATTGTTGATGTGATTACTTATATTGAATTTTGTAACTAGCTCATCAAGATTGTAACTTCCTTAGCTAAATGAATTGTGGGGTTCAGTCCCTGAGCCCATTATGTGCCTCTGTAACCCTTTCCACTACCGCCCACAAGATGGGTATGGGGTGGTTGTGGAAAATAAATGTTGTTATTGTTTTAGATTTAGCTACTAAGAACGAAATGTCCATGTAGCACGGGCTATGGTGAGCCCGTAAGGAATGTAAATGAACTCAATCAAATAAGTGAACAAGACTAGACTTAAGCCTCACCTAGAGCAACACAGCCACCCAGCCTGACCTCCTCGCCAACGTTTGTATCATGAGGCCACAACCGACCCAGAGACCCACGGGATAAAATTATTGGAATGCCATATTGAAATTGCTAGCATATAGCTCTAGCAGCGGGAGTAAATTAATATTTATATGAATTCCAAGATGCTTTATGGATATGAATATCATATATTGTCTTATAAACTAATTATGTAAGTAATTATTGGAATCATACATAATAAAAGTTTGTCTTTTATTTTTCAGAAAGGGATTCGCTTTTGGCCATTTTTTTTAATTATGACAAATTACAGATATACATAGTGTGTAAAAACTGGATAACATTTATATACGCAACTTTGCCTAGAAATAAACTAATTTAATAACGGAATATGACGAAAAAAGGAAACTGAATTCATCAGTAGATTTAGATTTTTTATATAAATATAAAAGGAAATATCACCTCTGGCTGGAAGAAAGAGACTCTTAGCCTCGTAGGAAAGCACACATAACGCATTAGAGGGGATATTTAGGTCCCCTCCAATACAGTTTCTATGTGCTTTTCTCCTAGTACCCCCTTCCTTTTGTGTTTTGTTGTGTTTTATTAGATATTTAAAGGTTACATTATGTACACTGGTTAATACAATTGATTAAAGGTTATGGATCTCTTGCAGCTCCTCCGCTTCAGACAGGAACCGATAACGCAGCGGGCGTTTCCCCTCTGGATCACCCACACTGAGGCGCTGAAACAAGAGATTGGCAGCCCTTGGGTCTCTGGTGATGTCGACGAGCCTGGAACCCAATTCTCTGAGAAATCCCAAGGCACTTCTACCCCAGGTGCCTTAAGGTCCAATTAGGTCTTGTTTACGGAGTATACAATTAGTGTTGTCTATTGGGAGTGTAATTTACCTGCAATTACCGTAATCAACGATATCCCAGGATTATTCTGATAATTTTTGCCGGAAACGCTATGCATGCTAGTGGCTTTACAAGAATGTAAAATCAACTTAATTTCTATGTTCTCTGTTAACCCGCAAAGTACGTTCTTGTATATAAATAAATAAATAAATAAATTACAGTGGTATACTTTATAAATATTTCACAAATTTTTAATGAATTTTTAAAGTTGTAAGAATCAAGAGAGTACTTATCTGAAGTTAATATTTAAAACATACATTATCCCGTTCCTTCGAGTTATTTGTGTTTTGCACTACTAGTTACTGCTATAAGATAATTAGTAGATAATTAGGTGGGAGTGGTGAGTTGTGTTGGACCCGCGGGTGCTGTGAGAGGTCGCCGGAGCAACAGTATTTACTTCATTACGTGTTACCTCCAGTGGGTGAGCTGCTGCTGTTGCTGCTGGCCGCATATTTCACAGGTGCATGGGGCATGCTCTCCTCATCTCGTGTCGTTCATGCTTATTGGATTGAATTTAACTATTGCAAATTTGATTAAATACGAGAGATAAGGGTGGATTTTCATCGGTTGTAGACTTGATGAGCACATGACGTGGTGAAGTTTATAATTGGATACACACAAACTTTAAAATAAATATTTTATTTCTCAATATTCAGTATTTATTGCAATTAAAATTGCATTCTAAAGCCGTAATTTTTTTATTATGGGTTAATTCATCATTAACTATAGTTTATTGAAAGTTTTATATACAGTATATTGGGTTCCTCATATTGACACTGTTCTGACTAGGAGATTCTTTAAAAAATAAATAAAATTCGCTGAGAATTATCAAAAAGAACATAAAATATTCAGTAAAGCAAAAATTCTTGGATTGAAGGGCTTGTACAGTACTTTATTGTAGTAATAATATTAATAATTAATTTTAATAATTATATTTATATTGCTATAATAATAATAATAATATGTTCATGAAAATATGCACACAAAAATCATTATTATTATTATTATTTTATACTACTTGTGTTCTATATCTAATAGCATATGCTGTCATTGGACTACTACTAGTTTGTCTACATCCCAGGGTCAAGGATTAGTTTTTCACATGATTACAACACTGACCAGATCTTAACACTTGTGTTCTTTAGGTGTACCATCACCCAGGAGTTTCTTTGCATTTTTCTTCACTTGATGCTATTTGAAATTTTCAGTGCCTCCTTGTGTACTACTGTAGTTTAGTAACTGAATCTTCTAGGTTGTCATCTATAATCGTTACCCCAGAAAACATGCCGTAGAAGCAAGTATACCCCGGGATAAAGTGGCTAGCCCCTTCTGTGGAACATTGTTGTTATCATTACTGTATTTTTTATTATTCCTGTAGCGGATATTATTTATTATTGGTATTATGTATTATGAATAGTAGCAAGAATGCAGATTAATGAAACTGATGAAATAACACTACTATTAGTGCACAGTGAAATCACATTAACATGATGTATTAGTGAGAAAATCAGTAGGAGCAATGATTTTCTTGCATCGTGTTTGTGATTTCATTGTGCATTTGACGAGAACTGTTGGAGAACTACTAGACAATTAGCCAGAGTGCATAGGGGAGGGACAGTGCTTAAAACCTTGAGTGAGCTTCAGTTGTAAGTCAAAAGAATCCTAGAAGATTCAGTGGATTCCCAGGTTGCGTTGCTTTTACCATGTTGTGGCATGGTGGTCTACGCTGCGAGCTTGGGGGTACCAAGTGAGCAGGTTTGAAGCCTCCTCATGGCTCCTCCTGAGTGTCTCGCTACTATCAGTAGTAATCGTTACAATAATTATAGTGCTTATACCTGTATACTTTATTATATAATTTGGAAGACTAAAGGGAAACCTGAAGTGTTACCTGGATTGTCATATTAACTTGAGTGAAAGCAGATATTTTTCTCGTACTCAAATTACACACCTATTAATCATCATTTAAAGTACTATAATTATCTTGGCAAGTGGTATAAAGATATATCCTGTATATGCCAACAATTTGATAGGAAACTGCACTGTAATAGCATATGTGTGTATTAAATGTTTGTAGTACTCTATTATGTATGCTTGTATCAATTTAAAATATACTATTACAGTACACACAGAACACATGTGTATGTACAGTACACACACATGTACTGTACACAGTACACCTAGTACTGTATGTACGTACAGTACACGTGTGAAGTCAGATGAACTCTTAGTTGCAATCCTTTTAACCATGTCGTAGCACAGTTGATTAAGGCGCATCTTGGATCCTCTCGGACGTAGGTTCGAACCCTCATCACGGCCCTTGTGGATTTGTTTATACTATTACAGTACTGTTATAGATTACTTATCTTTATATAAGTAGGTTTACAATGTGTCAGCAAGAATTAAATGTCGTTAGTTCTAGACAACTATTATAAATGTACTGTAGTTACATTATGCAAGTCTGCAAGTCTACATCATTGTGGTTTGCATCTTAATAAAATTAGCATTCACTCACTTATCCACTCAGAGGATAAACAAATACACTGGATTCTACCCTGGGAAGCAGGACTGGATATTAAATAAGAACTGCTAACTATAGTTCTATTAGGGCACATTGTGCTTCTATGTACTCACCTAGTTGTACTCACCTAGTTGTGCTTGTAGGGGTTGAGCTTTGGCTCTTTGGTCCCCACTCTCAACTGTCAATCAACTGGTGTACAGATTCTTTAGTGGCTCTATCAAATCTACATTTGAAACTGTGTATGGAGTCTGCCTCCTCCACATTGCTGCTTAATGCATTTCATTTGTTAACTATTTGACACTGAAAAAGTCTTTATAATGTGTCTATGGCTCATTTGGGTACTAAGTTTTCACCTGTGTCCTCTTGTTCGTGTTCCTCCTGTGCTAAAGAGTTTATCTTTGTCCACCCTGTCAATTATCCTGAGAATTTTGTAGGTGGTTATGTCTCCCCTTACTCTTCTGTTTTCCAGGGATGTGAGGTTCAGCTCCCTTAGCCTTTCCTCATAGCTTATACCTCTCAATTTTGGGACTAGTTTGGTGGCGTATTTCTGAATCTTCTCTAACTTTGTCTTGTGTTTAACTAGGTATGGACTCCAGGCTGGATCTGTATATTCCAAGTTTGGTCTGACATAAGTGGTAGACAAGGTCCTGAATGATTCCTTACACAAGATTCCTCATGTGTATATGAATTTGTGCATGTACTGTATTTATTTCATGAATATGTAAAAAAATTGTTACAATATTACAGTATTTTACTTATTCTGCTCCTCACTGATATATTTGTTTTTATTTTCAGTTTTGGCCCTCCTACCCCCCAGTTTTTCAAGATGACCCTTGGTAAGTATAAATAGCTTCTCGGATCTTTTATTCCTGCTGTGTTCTCTCAGTTTCAAGCTTTAATAAGCATACAGCTGACCCTTATCACTACATACACTATAGTAATGTTTCTGTAAAAATTGTTCTATAGTATATTAAAACATTCTATACAGCATAAATTTAATACATGTACTGTACTAACATAAGAGAAAAATAGGGTTTCATTCCCAGACATGACAAAGTTGTACATTACTGGAATGCTTGTGCATGTATTTGAGTTGTTCGGCGAGAGTGAAGGCAGAGGGAAGGGTTGAGGGTGAGGGTGAAGGGGGAGTGTGAGGACATAGAGAAGAGCAAAGACAAGGGAAAGTGTGAGGGCAAGGGGAAGAGTAAGAACAAGGGAGAAGGCAAGAGTGAGGACAAGGGTGAGGCAGAGAGTGAGAATAAGGGTGAAAGTGAGGGGCAAGGGCATGAGTAGGTGTGAGTGAGTACCTATTTTGCAGTGTTAGCTATTTGTGATAATCTCATTGTATCTATCTTGCATTCATTATTTCACAGGGTGCATATATACGATGTGAAACAATCGATTTTTTCCCTTTGTGTATCTAAGATCTCTTCAAGTTGTTGGCCCAGAATTTGTGGATGAAGATTTTGGAAAAATTTATTTTATTAGTCTCAAGCTTTGTTATCCACTAAGTATTTTGGAAGTTTGTTATAGCACGCTCAGCATACATATTATACCAAAATATGCACTGAGAAACTTCACTAAAAAATTATTATGCTTACCATGTTTTTCCAAATTCGAAAATATTGTCAAAGCCTTGAAACTTTTTTATGTAAGTGTGTTGTTTAATTATGAAAATACAGTTGGAAAATTATTATTTAAATCAGCCCTCATAGTAATAGCTGTCATTTACCTTGTAAAGATTGTAATATATTCTATATAGGTCTATCTTCCCCGGTATAATAGCCTCATCTGCAAACATATAATTCTGTATTGCATCTGTTAGATCATTTATGTAGACAATGCTCTGGTCTAATATACCACATTAGCCCGATAGCTCCAGGGAGCCTCCGGGGCTCACCCAGAAAATGGTGTTTCATTACTGTACATTAAATGCTTTTTTTTTTTTTTTTTTTTTTTTTTTTCTCCCCACATGTCAAAACTGGTACAGAAATAGCACGTGCAGTTTATGAATTAAATTTTTTATACCTTGATCTAAAAAGTTCTTGTTTAAGCCAGCAGCTAGCAGTCGATAGGTACCATAATTTCATTACAATAGTGTAGAAGCCTTCACTTTACACCAAACAGATTTTTAATTATCCTGGTGGTACTATGGAGATTTGTTATGTTCTTCCAAATTTAAGGGATTCAATAAAGTGTATGTAATATACGTGATGTGTGAAGGTAGCGCTACAAATGGAGCTACTGTACAAGCAAAACGGGTAAATGTCCTAGGGACTGGTTCTTCAGTCCTAGGGACTGGTTCTTCAGTCCTAGGGACTGAAGAATGAGTAAGATGGTCAGCCACATACTGTGATGGCAAGGACATGCACATATTGTATGTACAGTAATTATGTAGGTATTTAACACATGTCTAAAGGTTACATTTCTAGATTAATTGAACAAATTATGATACAAATTTTGTAAATAATAATAATAATAAGAGAGCTTACGAACTATAGATTCACAGTATACTGAAATTCCTGGTGTCTTCTTTGGTGATGCAGTGTTGTTTGTTTATTATGTAATATTTTATTGCAGTATTAACCTCCGAGTTGGTGGAGCAGTTTCGGGAACAGGTTGAGAGTGAATCAAGCTCTCTGTTGGCTATGAATGCTTGTTTTAAGACAGATCCATTAGAGATGTGTGTACGTCGCAGCAAAGTGATTTCAACAAATCATGTTTTTACCCACAAGGTCAGTTCACTTAAAAAATTTTGATTGCCATACTGTGTTATAAAATGATGCTTTAACAAAATTATGGATTAAATGGAACAGAAAACGAAATTTTCAGTCATTGGTAATACATTACAGTACATGTGCTCCTCTTTAAAAGAGGCAGAGAAATAAAATGGTGCACATGAACGAGTAGTTAAGAGCCTTAAAATTTACCAGTTAATGCCAGGTTGAGCCTTGGATTGAGTTATTTAACACCTTAGGTTTAATGATTAGTACAGTATAGTATTTTGTAAACCTTTAAAGCTGTGATAAGTAAATGCTATTGCTCTGAAGCTTTTTGAGTACTGTGTGTAATTACCAAAGTGTAATAACCTAAGTGTTGTTACAGGACGAGAGCTACACTCGTGGTGTCCCGTCTTCCCAGCACTGTCATATAATGCTTTGAAATTACTGACGGTGTCGGCCTCCACTACTCTCTCACTAAACTTGTTCCAACCATCTACCACTCTGTTTTAAATTTTTTTGGGGCACCCTTGTTTCCTTAGCTTGAATCTGGGATCTCTTGCTCTTGAAGTTGCTGGTGTGCTTATCTATCAGTGCTTACCAATAAGTGGCTATGGGGAAATGAGCTCTAGATCTTTTTACCCCCATCTCGTAGCCATTATCTATCTACCTGGTGTATCTACCTGGTGTGCTAATTACCTTTCTCAACATTAGTTTTTATTATATTTTCTCTTAAAGTTGAGTGTAGGGAAATAGATGTGAAGGTAATGAACAAACTTCTGATTGGTATATGTTTGGTACTGTATATACTTTCAGAGGTGCTCATGAGTAATAATTTATCAAAAGGAATAAGAAACCTACACAAATGTATGGAATGTAATTGATTTTTAAATACTATAAGCACAAGAAAATCACTTGCAGTGCAAGAGCATTTCAGTTAAAATTTGTTTAAGAAAGAAGTTTGAGAGACTGAAGAAAGGGTGAGAGAGATGTGGAATTGAGAGTGGTGTTGTCTAAATTAATGAAGGAAGGAACATATTGGTATTATGGAATTTCATTTGTAGGTTGAGAGTGAAGGGCGACCAGTTACCAACCAGAAATCTTCTGGACGTTGTTGGATCTTTGCCTGTCTTAATGTGATGCGACTTCCCTTTGTCAAACATCACAACTTGGAAGAATTTGAATTCTCACAGTCATATCTCTTCTTTTGGGATAAGGTAATACTTCACTGTATAAAATGTCAGAAATGTATGATGTCTATATATCCTAATGATACAAATCTTCAGTTTATTATTTTTGTATTAGTGCTTAGTATATGAATCTTAAACTAACAGTGAAGTTCTGATTACATTTTTGTATGAACAGATAGAGCGCTGCAACTATTTCCTGAACAAGATGGTTGAGTGTGCCAAACGAGGAGAGGAGGTTGAGGGTCGACTTGTCTCATTTCTTCTTCACGACCCAACTTGTGACGGAGGTCAATGGGACATGCTGGTGAACCTTATTACTCGGTAAAAATAATAAATTGGTCTGTTATAATGTGCTTTTAATTCAATTTTATTTTAGATGTTAGAATTCATTTAGAGTATACATCAAAGGTTATAATTTGAATGAGCATGTTAGGGTAGAGGATGTCTAGATCATGTACAGTATTACTGTTTCTGAAATAGCTCATAATAATTTATGTCCTCATTAAGGGTATTTGTGCTAGTTAAAGGTTTCTGTATACACTGGTACCTCGGCACTCAAATGGCTCCGAATTCTAACAATTTGGCATTCAAAAACTTTATTCAAGAAATAAAATGCACGTTAGTTGACTATTTGCTCAGCATTCAAATGTACACACAAGTAACAAATGAGTCAGATTCCCAGTAGCTGTCATTCAGTGTGCAACCCTATTAAACTTCTCTGTAAGCTTTTTTGTGGTTTTCTTGGATATTTTTTTACATTCTTAGCATAAATAAGTCACCACAGCACCTAAGAAGGTTAGTGATAAGAGCCAAACAAAAAAGAAAATTAGTTAGAACTATGATAAAGGTAAAAAAAAGAACTCGTAAGAAAATATGACAGTGGTGTCCGAATGCCTGTTTTTGCTACCAAGTTTGGTATGTGTATACCCTTTACAGAAAACTGTAAAGAGTATACACATTTTAGTGTAGTTGTGGGCATTCACGGGTAATGCTCGGCCAATTTTCGGGTTTGCTGTGGGGGACACTCCAGAGTTTTTGACCTTATATGCATATATTCCTTTAGAGAATTCTATTGCGAACAATTTGATACCAAAATGAATGACATAGCACGAAAATTGAGGTCAAAACACTGGAAAGAGTATACACATTTTTAGAGTGGGTACGCGCTCATGGGAAACACCAGGCCGACCTTGGGGTGGGGTGGGGCGTGCATGCCAGGCCGCGCAAAGTGTTAAATGCGTGGTGCATGTAATTATTGTATTCTGAGTTAACATACAAAACTTTTATTTGGATGATGTCGATTAAATTTTAAGCAATGATGTATGAAGGGATGTAGGTTCAATCCCATTGTGTGCCCTCAGTATGTTCTCATGGATGCATCAAGCTCTTCTAATTTCATTGTGTGTATTTGAATGAGTTTTGCTCGTGCCAATCCTTCTTGTTGGCTTTAGTTATTTTACTACTTTAATTATTTAATATGGTGTATAGAGATTTACCATTTGATTTCATGTGATGTTTGGAAGGATGTAAGTACTGTATTCTGAATACTGTATATGTGTACTGTACTATAATTAAGTTTTTGTGCTACACTGTAGGTAATTAAGAGGCTAAAATAGATAGTACAGTGGTAAGATTCAAACCTCTCTATAATTTGTTGTAATATTTCTAGGTATGGTGTGATGCCCAAAAAGTCCTTCCCAGAATCATATAGTGCAGAAAATTCCATTAGGATGAACAAAATCCTACAGAGTAAGGTAAACACTCGAGAAATGTACTAGTATTTATATTTGATAATTCATTATAATTTTCTTTGCCACTGCACAAACTACAGACAATTTACATTTGGGATTGTCTATCACTTGTAATATTGAGTGTAAGAGGCATGCTTCTGCCTAAACGTTTATATTTTATTTTTTCAGTTAAGAGAGTACACTCGAGAGCTGCGCACAGTAATAAACAAAAATGGGGATGATGCTGCAGTTACGGATACACTTATACGTCAGATGAGTGAAATATATCGTATTGTGTCTGTCTGCCTTGGAATTCCTCCTCAAACCTTTACTTGGGAATATTATGACAAGGCTAAGTCATATCATAAAGTTGGCCCCTTAACTCCACTAGAATTCTACAATGAATATGTGAAAGCAGTGTATAATGTTGAAGACAAGGTCTGTGTATTTATATTTTTTGTTTTTCCTTTAAGTTGGATTTCTCATACATATTGTATAACCTATAAAATGTCTTGATCATAAATAATAATTTACAATACTTATTATTTAATTTCTTGAACAGTCATGATCCTTTGGATTTTGATTTGCTTCAATTTTATTGAAAATCACTTTATTTTATTTTTTTTTTTACCCTTAAATGGCTTGGTTAATTAAGCTCTATGTTGTGGTGTGCATGTCAAAAAAAAATTCACAAAGCTAATTTAAAAAAATTGCATTTGACAATTCAAGCACAGGATGTAATCACAGATAGTAATTAAGCCATTTATAGGTTATGAAAAATTATTTTTGGTGCAAACATACATCTTAACCTTTGGGCAACAGCTATGGAAACATTGTCATACTCACCTATACGCAAAGAAGAAAAAAGTAAACAAAAAATTCCAAAAAATAATTTTTTATTATAGAAACTAAGTGAATATTTATGGTTTCGTTGGATGGAGGCGCTGTACTCATCTAATTGTGCTTGCGGGGTTTGAGCTTTGGCTCTTTGGTCCAGTCTTTGGTCCTTTGGTCTTTGGCTGTGTAAGGTTACATGGTGGTTGTGTCTGGCGCCTGTCAACACCTCATATCTGACATTGCTGTGACACTTCCTGTGTTATCCCCATGTTACACAACTTGTTTCTCTTTGTTTATGAGTGTGTGTGTGTGTTGAATAAGTTGATAAATCACATAATTCACATTACACATGATAATGTTTCAATTGATGAGTGGTTTACCTGGTATACTCCATTACAACCAGTATAGAGCAGTGAAAAGTATATGAACATAATATTCAATGGTGTTGGGCACTGGGCAGTGACATATGGCATTTAATTGGCATCATATGGACAACAGTATAGATTGAAACAAAGGCGTAAGCCACCAATGTGCACCCACAGATGATAATTGTCATATGACAATAACCACGTTCACCTGTAAGTAACAGGTGTAATGAGTAACAGGATTTACTATTAACTAATAAGAGCAGGATTTTTCAAGGGTCAAGATAAACTCCATTTCAGCCACATAGATCAACTATATCCTTATTGGCATCATACATGTAAAATCCAGACAATAATTATATAAATCATATGTCAGTAACCACATTACTCCGTGAATTAACATATGATGTAGTAAATAAACCTCAAACAGTAACACCTCTCCTCACTGTCTTTCATATGCCAACAAGAGTTATCAATAAAGGTAAGTTATAACTTGTAAATACTTTAGTAGAAAATGTGTGTATTATATATGAAATGTATTTTGAAGTTAATATTTTTGGGAGTGTGGAAGGGATTAATTAAATTTACATTATTTCTAATGGGGAAAATTCGTTTAGTTACAAATTTTAAAGTTACAACTTGTCTCTGGGGACTGATTAAATTTGTAAATGGGGGGGGGGGCACTGTATATCAGTCCGACGATAGCTCCAGGAGCCTCCAGGGCTCACCCAGAAAATGGCGTTTCATTACATTCAACGCTGGTTTTTTAAAATACTCAGAATGGAAGAACTTTCACCAGCACCAGGTTCAAAGACTTGAACCTCGTCATATTCTGACTGATACATGGAAAAATCTCACACAGGAGAATCTTGGATACAAGGGTGTATTGAAATTTGGTAACATCCAGGTCTCTTTCACAGGAACTTGCTTCCCATATTCCCTCGAAACCTAATTTTTAAATTATTATGTGAATCTCAGACTGATTGTGATGCTGTCAACAAAACTACAATAATTATAATTGGTCATGATTCATGCTTTATCCGAGTGTTAATGTTCCACATTAGCTCCATACCAACCCTATCTGCAGCATGGAATCGAGTTCCAAAATAACAGAATAGGCAGTTGATAGGAACCTTTAAGAGCTTCTGCATTATACAAAGAGTATACACTTCAACACAGTGGAGGAGAGCTGTCCAATTGCAATACAAAATGTGTAGTCTGGAAATCTTGGAGATAAAAAATTGACCAAGGTACAATAGGATTGGCTGAAGCTCCATGCTCAGAGGTCAAAATGGGACATCACAGAGAAAAACATTTTGAGAGTGGGAAAATTCCAAAGGACATACAGCTGAGGATTCACTTGCATATAGATCACTTGCAAGGAAGCCTGGTCGAGGACAGGGCTACTAAACAGGCTACGTTAAGCCCCGAAACCATCTCAAGGTAGCTCAACATGACCACTCTGTGAAAAAGCTAAGAGATGCAGGCCTTAGTACAGTCCACAATGGTGCAATGATTAAGGAACAAGAGATGTAGTCTGAGTCTGTCTATGAGTATGGAAATAATGATGTAAGGTTGCTAAAGGGCAAAGTATATGATATAATGTACCTAAGGATGAACAAACCAAACCCAAACAAAATAAAACCCCCTCCTAAAGGAAGAAGTCTCATTTAAGGTCAAATATTATTCATCCAAGTACATTATTGTTTATATTGGTGTGCTATACATGTAATGATTCATAATTTATCTAATGCTCAGAATATGAATTTCTGTTCTTTACATTTTTTCTAGAAAGGATCCCTCAGTGGCTTCCTGAACTTAACTCTGGTCCCACCCAGCCCTATCCCAACACACCAGGCCTCAGACCCATCCATAACCTACTTGGAGCCAGGCCCTGACTCTGGCTCACTCATCAAGGCAAGGGGAAGAAGAGAAAACCCCACCATATGCACAATAAAACGGCCGACTGCTTGAAGGAAATTTAGCACCTTTAGGTAAACAAGGCAAACAATCATTGCTGCTGGCTGAATACCTAGTCTGTGATGTGCCTGACCACCACCGGACTGCAGCTCAGGTCACCTGAGATCTCAACCAGCCCACCATCTCACACTTCAGCTGGGTGACACTGGCTCAACAGCTATAACCTCTGCTGGGCCCATCGTCTGCTTCTTGTTTTCAGTTAAGTAGCGTTGGGTATCCCTAGGACATTATGTTCTACCTGAAGCTACTGCTTTGTTTTTATTTATACTTCATGATTATGTTGCTACCACCCACATTGTGTGTAACCTAGCATTCCATTCCATTTCACTGAACCACAGTTGGTGGAGGGCACTTCCCACTTTCTCTAGTGGGCATTCTTTTGCCACTGCTGAGGGCCATGTGTTGCATGCTCTGTTTTGCCCAGAGTGGATTCTGTCATCTTTTTCTTCGTTTTTTTTTAAGGGGGTTTCAATCCTGTGGTGCCGCCCTCCTTCAGTGAGCAGGTTTTTCCGGTTACATCAGTCCTTGGCTGGCCCTTGTCTCTGGCTCTCCCTGCACTGGTCAGTGTCGGTGGACTCCTTGCCTGCAGTGTCTATCCCTTCAGGTACAGATGTTTGAGGCGATCCTGCTAGCATTTCAGTGGATCTGTCACCTATGGGACTTTGTCCTCCATTTACTTTCAAATGGTGCAATGGCATTCTGATGTCTCTTCAGTTCATTTAATTTCTGTGTGGGGCTGTCCTCTGAGGGTAGCCTCACCATTGACTTCTTGAACTTTGTTAATGATTGTCTTGTTTACCTATGGGTGTTTCATTTCTTGCAAGCAATCGCTTAATTTTCTTGTACCAATTCTTTCTTGTTGGCTTTTCTCAGTTTTGTGTTTAATCTGATCCAAAGCTTTCCTCACTTTAAGTGAGAGAGATTCTGATCCTGGATCAGTAAATGTTGGATGTGTCTCAGAGGCCTGGTGTGTTGAGCTAAGGTTTGGTGGAACTAGGGTTAAGCTTGGTGAGATACTAAGGGCCCTCTAGAAAAGAAAAAACATTTCATTATATTCAGTGCTTGATTTTTTTTTTTTTTTTGTATGAACCTCCAGTTCAATCAGCCTGTCAGTTGCTCTCTCTTACTGAACCACTGTGACAATTTTGTTTTATTGTTCATATTCTGCATGATGAAGAGAACTGCTAAACTATTATATTTTTCTGATTCATTTCTAAAGTTAGTAAATGGCATACTATAGTGTATATTCAATTTAATTTTCCAGGTATGTTTAGTAACAGATCCTAGGCCTAATAATGCATATGGGCTTGCATACACAGTTGACTGTTTAGGAAATATGGTAGAAGGCCGTCGAACCATTTATAATAACCAGCCTGTGGAAACCTTAATGAAACTGGCTAGTGATAGTATAAAGGCTGGAGAAGCTGTGTGGTTTGGCTGTGAAGTGGGCAAGAGATTTGCTGGCAAGCTTGGTATTCAAGATATTGACATGTAAGTTATGCTTGTCAAGTTCCCTTTCTTTTATTACCTTTGTGCTTGCTACTTTCTTTCAGAAATTAAATTTGTGTGTTAGTGTTTACAGTTGTTAAGGATGAAACATTAGGCTAATGCTATTTTTTATTGATAGAGCAACCCGTCCTCTTAAAATTACATCGCTTTTCGCTCTCATTTGCCCGTATGGCCAAATAAACGTAATTTGAAATGAAATCGGCTTATGAAAGTGACATACTGTCCTGTTTTCTGTTGAGAGTCCTCCGGCTTACTCGATTAGGTTATGAGAGGAAGCTTTCAATTAACGATTTTTATGACATTTTGAAACCTTAGGAGAAATTCCTGCCCAACTAACCTACCAGAGGACTCTTAACTTGCTGTTTTAGAAAAAAAAAAAATCCAAAATTTTTTGGAACTCCCAAACTAAAACTCCTAAACTAAAACAAGCAAACAAGTGCACGTCACTAATGCCGTCACATCAAGCAAAGCCAACAAGTTTTTAACTTTTATATATATATATACAGTGGAACCTCTATTAACGAGTTTAATCCGTTCTGGCACCGAGCTCGTTACCTGGAAAACTCGTCTTTGGAAACAAATTTCCCCATTTAAAATAAAGGAAATAAATTTAATCCGTTCCACTCCCAAAAACATCCATACTTGTATGACTTTTTTTTATGTAAATATAATACTGCACATGTAAATATAAATGTTTTGTTATAGTGTTTTAATATTTACTTTACCTTATGAAGAGTAGTTGCTGGCTTGAGGGAGACGATGGAGAGGTGGGAAGGAGGAGAGGGGTTATGGTGTGGAAGGAGAATCCACCTCTGAGTCAGGCGCTCTCTCTCTTCTTGGGAATTTCACCCAAATTTCATTTCAAATGTCACACAAGGATGCGTTAGACCAGCACCAAATAAAAAACTATGTTGATTATACTCGTTGTGTCAACAATATAATAGTCTTACCACGAAGATACAATACAATGCCGTTTTCTCAAATAGGCAATGTGGTTATTAAAGAAAACGGAAATTTCATGGCAAACATGTATACAATCCCCAAGTCGATCGAATAAGAATTGGATTTTAAAGAAATATTTGCTCAAATGACGCTTGAGCACAATGTTTGGGTGCATTCAAGATAAAAAAAAGTGTGTTACGTTCAAGCGACATATACCTGCGAAAGTGATAACACTTTCATAAAGTGTTATCACAAAGTGATAAATTAATTAAACATTTTCACACACTGGGTTGTCACTGCTTTATCAGGGCAGCTTTTCCAAGAATGCGTTCATCTTTTCAAACATTCCAAACACTTCCCTGATCTCAGTGGAAGAGGCAGCATCCTCCCTTACCTCCTCATTCCCTTACTAATGGTGTAAATTGTTGATGAGGACCTGCCATACTTCCTTGTGAGATCAATCACACAGACACCACACTCATGCTTTGCTATAATTTCCTTCTTGAAAATCCATAATAATTGTCTTTCTTCCTCTTGAAAACACTATCTTTAGCAAGCAGCTTCTTTGGAGGCATCGTGTGTTACAAATTGTAGTCGCAAAACCACTAAAAACCCAAAGAAAAGCTCAAATAAATCCAGAGGGATGCTTGTCGTGTGAGATACAACAACAACACTGGCGTCGGAGGTGTCCGAGAATTTGCGAGAACCCGCGAGTTGGAAGCGCCATGTGGTTTCACTCGTTAATAGAGGCGAGCTCGTCAATAGAGACAAATTTGCTGCGAGTGGCTTGCTCGTTACTGGAAAAACTCGTTAATAGAGCCACTCGTTAATAGAGGTTCCACTGTGTATATATATATATATATATATATATATATATATATATATATATATATATATATATATATATATATATATATATATATATATATATATATATATATATATATATATATATATATATATATATATATATATATATATATATATATATATATATATATATATATATATATATATATATATATATATATATATATATATATATATATATATATATATATATATATATATATATATATATATATATATATATATATATATATATATATATATATATATATATATATATATATATATATATATATATATATATATTATAATTTATTTATTTATTTATTTATTTTTATTAAATAAATAAATAAATAACTATCCCACTTAGCTTTTCGCTGAGGCAAGACCCTACGACCTCTCATTAGGATCTAGCACAGAAATTCCTAGAGTGTTAAGGGTTAAAATAGTTGTACTGTCCTATTTCTTAATTTCAGAAGCCCATATTAAGATTATCTATTTGCAAAACACTAATTGGATTGTGAACTTCTACCCACAGCCATGATTATAAATCAGCTTTTGGAGTAGAGGTAAACATAGGATTAGGTAAAGCAGACCGTCTCATATATGGTGAAACCCTCATGACTCACGCTATGATCTTCACTGCAGTTACACTCAATGTAAGTGCTCTACTATTATATTTCAGTCTTTTTAGTAGCAATTAATAAATGAATGAGAGAATAGGTTTTAACACTGAAGTGTATGAATAATGTGAACTCAGTGAGTATGTAGGAAAGACTAAATTAAGCTCTTTATGGGATATGATTGGTAATTCATAAAAAAAAAATCAGGGTGTGGTTTCATTCAGCTGACGATTGTCACTTCACATTTTGTTGGTTTTACTCTAATTCATTCATTCATTATTTTTATAGGAATCTGGGACTGCAGAAAAATGGCGAGTAGAAAATAGCTGGGGAGAAGACCGAGGAGAGAAGGGATATCTTATCATGACTTCAGAGTGGTTCCGTGAATTTGTATTTGAAATTGTGGTGGACAAGAAACATGTACCAGAAGAAGTTTTGGCAGTGTTCACTCAGGAGCCAGTAGTGCTCCCCGCATGGGACCCTATGGGAGCGCTGGCCCGTGAGGCTATTCCAAACACACGCCATTAATTTTAGCTTTCTAATTAGCAAGCTAATATTTCTGCATCATAAATTGTTTTTAGATTTTTTTTAAGCAATTCTCAACATTAGTTCAGATAAGACATTTTACTTTTACAAATGAATATGTTGGCGAGTGAGTACTAGTACATATGAGGTGACGGCTTGTCTTTACCTTGGTGTAAAGACTTACACTCTGGTGTCTGTGGTTGACACTTATCCCTTACTCTCTCCAGGTAAATATATGGTTCTCGTGTAGCTCTGATGAATGTAGAGTGTAAAGTTTTTTTACTTCACTTTTATTTGATGTTAATTTGTTTTTTGTTTTTTTTATCTAGCATGAACTGAAGGTATTATTTCCTCTTATTCTAATACAAATCATTCTGGAAAACATTTAAGAAGATTCCTCATTGCAGGAGATACAAAATTAAAAAAAGTCACTCGTCTAAAATTAGACAAGTGACACTCGTCACTCGTCTAATTTTTAGACGAGCGTTCAATTAGAACACTCGTCTCGTGTTCTAATTTAACTTTTTACAAGTTAAAATAGCTTGGGGGACAGCTATTTATTTAGACAGTAAAAAAGTATAGTACATTAATTACCTCATGTCTAATAATCATCTCTGACTAATGCCTCACACACTCTTTTATTTGACTTTATTAAAATATAGTTTAATATTTAACAAGTTTTATCAACACAAGTATGGATAGTTTTCCGTATATAGTTTCTTTAATATAATTTTATTAGAGGTATTTTGTTTATATATATATATATATATATATATATATATATGTCGTACCTAGTAGCCAGAACTCACTTTTTGGCCTACTATGCAAGGCCCGATTTGCCTAATAAGCCAAGTTTTCATGAATTAATATATTTTCTCTAATTTTTTTCTTATGAAATGATAAAGCTACCCATTTCATTATGTATGAGGTCAATTTTTTTTTATTGGAGTTAAAATTAACGTAGATATATGACCGAACCTAACCAATCCTACCTAACCTAACCTAACCTATCTCTATAGGTTAGGTTAGGTTAGGTAGCTGAAAAAGTTAGGTTAGGTTAGGTTAGGTAGGTTAGGTAGTCGAAAAACAATTAATTCATGAAAACTTGGCTTATTAGGCAAATCGGGCCTTGCATAGTAGGCTGAGAAGTGCGTTCTGGCTACTAGGTACGACATATATATATATATAATATATATATATATGTCGTACCTAGTAGCCACAACGCACTTCTCAGCCTACTATTCAAGGCCCGATTTGCCTAATAAGCCAAGTTTTCCTGAATTATTATATTTTCTCTAATTTTTTTCTTATGAAATGATAAAGCTACCCATTTCACTATGTATGAGGTAAACTTTTTTTTATTGGAGTTAAAAATAACGTAGATATATGACAGAACCTAACCAACCCTACCTAACCTATCTTTGTAGGTTAGGTTAGGTTAGGTAGCCGAAAAAGTTAGGTTAGGTTAGGTTAGGTAGGTTAGGTAGTCGAAAAACAATTAATTCATGAAAACTTGGCTTATTAGGCAAATCTGGCCTTGCATAGTAGGCTGAGGAGTGCGTTCTGGCTACTAGGTACGACATATATATATATATATATATGCAAACAAGCCTGAATGGTCCCCAGGACTATATACAACTGAAAACTCACACCCCAGAAGTGACTCGAACCCATACTCCCACAACTGGTATGTACAGGGACGCCTTAATCCGCTTGACCATCACGACCGGACATAAGGAAGTGATAGCCGAGGCTATATGAACCACTTCCCCGCCGGCACTCGGATGGTAATCTTGGGCATAGCATTTTATCAAATCACCTCATTCTTTGGGGCACACGTGAGGAACACAAATGCAAACAAGCCTGAATGGTTGTTTGATAAAATGCTATGCCCAAGATTACCATCCGAGTGCCGGCGGGGAAGTGGTTCATATAGCCTCGGCTATCACTTCCTTATGTCCGGTCGTGATGGTCAAGCGGATTAAGGCGTCCCTGTACATACCAGTTGTGGGAGTATGGGTTCGAGTCACTTCTGGGGTGTGAGTTTTCAGTTGTATATAGTCCTGGGGACCATTCAGGCTTGTTTGCATTTGTGTTCCTCACGTGTGCCCCAAAGAATGAGGTGATTTGATAAAATGCTATGCCCAAGATTACCATCCGAGTGCCGGCGGGGAAGTGGTTCATATAGCCTCGGCTATCACTTCCTTATGTCCGGTCGTGATGGTCAAGCGGATTAAGGCGTCCCTGTACATACCAGTTGTGGGAGTATGGGTTCGAGTCACTTCTGGGGTGTGAGTTTTCAGTTGTATATAGTCCTGGGGACCATTCAGGCTTGTTTGCATTTGTGTTCCTCACGTGTGCCCCAAAGAATGAGGTGATTTGATAAAATGCTATGCCCAAGATTACCATCCGAGTGCCGGCGGGGAAGTGGTTCATATAGCCTCGGCTATCACTTCCTTATGTCCGGTCGTGATGGTCAAGCGGATTAAGGCGTCCCTGTACATACCAGTTGTGGGAGTATGGGTTCGAGTCACTTCTGGGGTGTGAGTTTTCAGTTATATATATATATATATATATATATATATATATATATATACAGTACAGTATATATATATATATATATATAAAATCACATATACAGTATATAAAAGTCTACCAGCATATTTTAGAATTAAGTTTACTATTTTATTCCTAATCTCCCATTAATATACAGTGTAGTGCTTACAATTTCCATATAATGCAGACAACTCCACATTCATATGTATTTACGTAACTACTTCTCCATATATATTTACATAAACTTCCTCAAATTAGAACTTGAATATACAGTCTACACAGGGAGAAAGGAATTAAGTGAGTGAGAGTTAAATGTGTGCAAATAACGCAAATTCTGAGAAATGAACGCTTGTGAAACAAAAGTATGTTGAGGAGGAAAAGTGGAGATAGATAGAATGGGGGAGTAATGAAAGGGGTGCGGTAGCAAGGAAGAGTGCTTATCTATTATTTAAAAGCTGTGGATGGAATTGGCTTCAAAAACTTCTGTCGGTGCATTCCACTTGCCACCACCTAAACAGAGAATAGGAACTTGCTTACGTCTCTTCAACCCAATTGCAAGTCAGCTTCCACTGAAGTTGTCTGGTCCTACCTCTTTTAATTTAAATAGGTTTCCTTTATGCTTCACTAGGTTTGGGCTCCATGCTAGAGCTGCATACTCCAGTAATAATCTCACATAGGCAGTGTGTATGGACTTGAAAGCCTCCTTGTTTAGATTCTTAAATGACATTATGTTTTCTTATGTTTGCTAACCTCCCATATGCTGCTGATGTTATTCTGTTCACATGAGCTTCTGGTGTTAGTGTTGGGAGGAAAAGAGTGAGGTAAGAAGAATGTGAGGTAGGAAGAGTGTAGGTAGGAGGGAAGAGAGTGAGGTAGGAAGATTGTGAGGTAAAGAGGAAGAGTGTTAGGTGTGAAGTATTAAGAGAGTGGGGGGGGGGGGAGTGAGTGTGTGTGTGTGTGTGTACTCACCTATTTGTGCCTGCAGGATTGAGCATTGACTCTTGGATCCCGCCTTTCTAGCCATCAGTTGTTTACAGCAATGACTCCGGTCCTATTTCCCTATTATATATAGTTTTAAAATTATGAATAGAGTTTGCTTCCACAACCTGCTCCTTAAATGCATTCCATTTTTCCACTACTCTTACGCTAAAAGAAAACTTCCTAACATCTCTGACTCATCTGTGTTTCCAGCTTCCACCCATGTCCCCTCGTTCTGTTGGTATTCTGTATGAACATGTTTTCTATTTCCACTCTGTTAATTCCCCTGAGTATTTTTTACGTTCCTATCATATCCCCCCCCCCATATCCTTTCTTTTTTCTAGTGTCGTAAGGCTCAGTTCCTTCAGGCGCTCTTCACATCCCATTCCTCGTAACTCTGGGATGAGCCTTGTTGCAAACTTCTGAACATTTTTCCAGTTTCCTTATGGGTTTCTTCAAGTGGGGATTTCATGATGGTGCAGCATACTCTAAGACTGGTTTCACGTAGGAAGTGTAAAGTGCCCTAAATGCCTCCTTACTTAGGTTTCCGAATGGTGATCTAATTTTTGCCAGTGTAGTGTATGCTGCTGTTGATATCCTATTTATGTGTGCCTCATGAGTTAGATTAGGTGTTACATCCATTCCCAGGTCTCTTTCTCGAATTGTCACAGATAGGTAGTTTCCTTTCATTGTGTAATCTCCCTTTGGTCTCCTGTCATCTAATCCCATTTCCATAACTTTACATTTGCTCATGTTGAACTCCAATAGCCATTTCTCTGACCATCTCTGCAACCTGTTCATGTCCTCTTAGAGGAACACACACGCACACAGACATCCTCTTGTGGGTATGTGTGCGGGTGTGTGTGCGTGCTCAGTTCTGAGCAGCATCCTCCGTTTGGTCGTTAACGTTTATTATAAAAGGCCAGGCTCTAATGCCTTGCCTTGTGGTGCTCCGCTCATTGCCTCTCTATCCTACATCTCCCTTCCCTCTGACTCTGTCTCCTTCCTAAAAGGTACGCCTTCTTTTTGTTTAGTACTCTTTCCCGTGCAGCAGCCGACCTCTATAGTTTTCATAGGAATCGCTTTTCAAGAATGGTGTCAAAAGCAATCAGGCACTGTGTGTGTTTGTACACTTACCTCGTTGTGCTTGCGGGGGCTGAGCTCTTTGTTCTCGCCTCTCAATTGGTAGAGTGAGTGAGTGAGTAAGTGAAAGAGTGAATGAGTCAGTTAGTTAGTTTTTGCATGTATGAGTACATGTCATTATCATCTGTATCAAGGTTATATCTGCTTAGAACACTAATTATGATCACTGGTTCCTATTTGGTTGAGTGTGTGATAGGGGGATGGGGAAAGAAGTGTGTGTGTGTGTGTGTGTAAAAGAATATTAATTAAAAAAAAATCAGGGATATTTCAATATGCAGTTTTTTTTATAAATTTGAGACATTAAGTTGTGTTATCAAATTTGTTTGCAGAGTTCTTCAGACATTTACATTGAGAAATGTACAATATACAGTAGTCTAGCTGTATTATAGATGGCTATCAAGTACACTGAGAAGGTACAAATGAATACTTTAATAGGCTCACATTGTCCTTGTCTATTTATAATGTGTCATTACACAAAAATCTTTTAAAATACAGATGTTTTAGCACTACCTAGTTAACATTTGTTTTATTTTGCCTACTTTAACTTGCTTGAAGCAACTTTGGGTAAATATTTGCTTCTGTTTCATTTCCTGTCTTCAGTCCTGTATTTTTCTTAACTTGTCTTTCCTGAGTTGTTCTCCAACCCAGGGTCTGTGTTCATCCAGGAGACAAGAACTTCACCAGATTCCCTCGAGCTGTGCCCTACAGGAACAAATATCGTCGTTCAGCACTACATAGTCTTCCCAGCTTGGCGTTTCTTTTGATAATTACTTACTTTATAAATCATCATATTTCTTTATTTAGGCAGAGAAGACAGGTAAGATCAAATTAAATTTGCCACCAAGATGCTGTATGCTGTTACAACAAAGAACACAAAAATAACTTAATCCCCCCCTCCCTCCAGAAATAACTGGGTAACACAAGGAACACAGTAAAGGTATTTAGAAACTAT